GCTGAGCGTTTTGAAATAATCATGAAATCCAAACTATTCATTCCACTGAGACGGTTAATTAAGGCACGTTTGTTAAAAATGTGAACGGCTTCCAACCCTGCATGTTTTTCTACGTAATAAAGCTAGTTAATGAGGTCAAATACGAATAAAATACGGTTGAGCCCCCCAATTTTTGTTCACTCGTGTTCTTTCATCCAACCGGGAACAGGAGGATCCATTAGCGTTTAGCCTCACCATTGAGCTAATAAGCTGAGCCAAGAAACCCTTGGAAGGCTGCTGAAGGCGCACAAGTTACACAAATACCAGAACAACAAGGCTCAGGTTGCAGAGTTTAATATGGCATGCATGAGGTAATTGAGATGAGTTAGATAAGTGGAATAATAATTCGCGCAGAAAGGGAAATTTGTGAGATGGTCCCCCGGGACACGGCGTAAGTGAAAGTAAGTGAGGGTAATTTCTCCAATGATTTAGAGACTCTTCTGAAGAGAGACAACCTGCGTTTTACAACCAAGCCACCCATCTAACAACTACCACCATGAGCCCCGTATACAGCTACAGCACTCTCCTAAACTCTCCTTCATCTTTCTCAAGCCATATGCAGCGCGTGCCTCCGTCTGCCTCAAAATAAGGTAAAAGAAGGTCTTTCCTTGGTAATTCGGTGTGCAATTTGTAATGCTGAGCTGAGCATGCATGAGGGAAGGATGGAAGGAAAGGGTGACTTGGCTACGAGCACATAAACTTAGTCTCAAGTATGAACATGAATTAGTGAAATGGTGAGAAAACTAATTGTTCTTTGTGAATTTTTATGAATAATGAACATTTTACGGAAATTTACGACTTTTTTCAACAGCAACACGCTGATCTAAGCGTAAGAGATATATTACAGTGCGCCTGTGAATGCGTATTGCCAACATAAAGTGCGAGAGCTTATTTGAATGTAAATACATATGAATACATAAATGTATGTATGTCTACACTGCCAGGCACTGCAGGCGAGGCAGGATAACATTGTAAAATGACCTGATATGTTGAATTAAAGGGTTTGCGCAATTGGGATGTTGAGGAAGATGACTTAATCTGCAAATACGCAATTTTAATTCCACGCAAGTTCATACTGTAGTTCAACATTGAGTTAGGTTTTCGTCTTGTGAGGGGCAGCATTGCTACATAGTAAATACCTTACAAAAGTGCATTTCATTATTGCTATTTATTCAACCGGTCTGACTTGTGTAGAGATCTTTTTTGTCCAGCGTACAAAGTGAAAAACTAATCTAGAAATGTTTTTGGAAGTAGATGTGTACGAGGTGGGAGGAGGAGGGAAATAATGGCGGTGATACTGCACGATTTTACGACCGGTGTACATATCCGTTTACTACATTGTTTATTTTTATCCCTTTTCCACGCTCCCCTGTCGCCCTGCGACTTTTACTGTGGACTATGAAACGCGTATTAATTAGTCACCTTCTTCCGTCCAATGCTACGTTTTATAGTAACGAAAACAGAATAATCTACTTGATACTTATATTTCCTTACTAAAAGAGAGGCATTTCGGTTTTCGATGATTTTATGACCAAGGTGATTATCCACATGAGTTAAAATTTGATTTTATGTCTGGTTGGTATTTTGGGAAGTATTTCAAGTAAGATCCTTCGGCATCCTCCATGTTGCATATGTTGACGATGAGAATGGTTTATATGATGCAGAGATTAGGTTAAAGTTGACATCAATAAGTGCGAAACTTTTGCCATCCTGTTGGTTTGCAAGTAGATTACCAAATTGGGTGGACCATCAACCTACATTTTTCAATCATAATTGTAGGTTTGTAACGTTAGATAACTCGTTTTACATGTATGATCCAGACTTGGGAAGATTCGGCTACATGGCCATTAATGGGATTCATGTACCCCGGATATGAAGAATATGAGACTTTTTGTACTAATGAGAATAAATGTGTCGGATAAAATCCAGGAACTCAACTAATGGCTTCTAAATTGATACAGATTATCCTCAATGGCTGTCTCTCTGATTTTTTCACACCTTTCACAAACGCCCGAGAATTTTTACGCTTTTATCTGCACTAAGGTAAAATGTACTCAAGTTTGTAAACGAACATGGATTGCACACGTATAATAGCCAAAAATCATGTCAGTTCTGTTGGTGGAGCTATAAGTACAGAAAATTCTGACACCGCAAAACCAAAGTCCTAGCAGGATGAGATTTTTACACAAATGAATGTTTTATGTTTCAAAGGTTCAAAGTGGGAATATTTATGCATACGAATATTGTTGGTTATCTAACAATTTAGTGTTGGTAGATTACGGATGGTGGCGATATTATGAAATTGAGCCCTAAAAATGAATTTGGCAAGCGCTGACGAGGACGGTGGAAAACTTAACTAATTTTGGATTTAATTTGGATCTGAACCAATTGAATTTTCCAGATGTTGTTCTACCTCCGCCCAGTTCCGTTAATTAATTCATCAATTAATTCATAGCGTTCTAGATATTTTGCCCACGATTCCACTTCAGTCGACTCTGATCCGACGCTTGCAGTGATGCGTATTCAAGCCATGAACTACAGGAGTGTATGTGTATTATGCATACAAAAGCTTGAGTTCGAACCAATTCATCCTATGAAACATTTAATTTTTACTTTAAAATTAAATGAATTTATACAATTAAATAAGTTTAAAAAGTGTAGCGTGGTGCACATTAAAACTCATAGATTTTATCCAAAGATTATTCTTCGCCTGTAGTCATACTAAAAATCAGGATCAAACCAGCTTTCTAGTTCACATTTATGCAGAACATTGCTGCTGCTAATTGATATTTGATTGCATTAGTCGAAGCAGTGTGCAAATAAGTAAGCACTGGAAGTTTCCCATTGCTTAGGGAATTCATTAAAGTTAAGCCACCAGCAAACTAAAGTGGCAAACTTTATAAATCCGCGAAAGAATTGGGGAGACAAAGTACATAAGCGACAATTTATTTACCCATTTGCCCATTATTAGATGAGGTAATATTAGATTTGCTCCTCGGTGCTGTAAAAGTCAACCCTCGAAAGAAAACAGTTCTGCTGTTACTGCCAGAAAGGAGAAAGTCAAAGTCAACCATTCACTTTATCGCCATCACCCAACAAACCCAGAGCATAATGAGCTGCGTAGTTTAACTGTGGTGAAAAGTGCAAACTGCTCGGTTTATTGGCCCAGTTTAGTCTACCAAGTGGCTATTCAGTCTCCGGGGAAAGACCACTTTTCTCTACCCTTTAAACCCCACAGTGCAATGAGGAGATCTATGTTTTGCTGATGCCGTAACGCAAGGCGATCTTTGCTTTTTTGTGCTATGCGTAGTTAATGTATGACATTTTCATACCTACAACAAAATACAAGGTCCCCCTCTAAGCTGCCAGTTGGCAATATTTTAAATTGCATCGTCTTCATGCATGTACCTGCACCCCGAAAGAACAACAGAGCTGGACCGCAAACGTTGTCTCTTGAAATTACCTTTCTAGACGTCGTAAAATTGGGGGAAGTTTTATGAGCACGGGAGCTACAGGGATATCTGTGTAGAACATTTGAATACTGCGAGGGCAGATAGTCAGGATGTTGATTGTTGAGTCGAGCTACACCATTTCCTTCAATATGGGACCAATGCTAAGTTTTTATTGTATTCATCACCATCAAGTCACGTTTATTTATCTATTTTATTTCCGTCGTTAACCCAAATATGCAATGATCACATATATTGTTCAAAAATCAACTCATCATGCACATAAAATTCACGAAATTCAAAAAATTTATTTCGTTCGTCTTTATTATTTTGTTTTTATAGGAAAGGGTGAAGCTGTGAACGAAAGAGCAGTTCTACATATGCATCCTCGCATCCACGAAAGCAATAAATTATTTTATATTTATCATCAACGTTATACGCATCCTCGGAACAAAAAAATATGGGATGTATCCTAACCGCAAAAAAATTCATATATTTGGATTTGTATTCAAACTCCCAAGAATGAAGCATAAAGGTTTGGTTCATGAATACGCAAAGACTTTTGGTGAATTGCTTAACATTTGACAGAACATTGATGACGGGCATTGGAGGAAGTGTAATAAAATATCATGAATTATTGATTGTATCTGACAATCTTGCTGTGTGTATTGCGCTTTCGCTTTCATGTTCCAGTATACGAACATTTGTAAATACGTATCTACGTATGTATCTAGTCCTCAGGATTCAAATCACATAATGGTTGCAACAAAGCAAAACAAGAAAAAGGGGAAAATAATGGAAATTGAGAGGACAAGAATGTTATATGAATTGTTTTATTGAATACTTAAGAATTTGCTAATCCTGCTCATTCTTCGCGAGGGTTCCCAGATTCAAATAAAAGGCAACAATTTATGTACATGTGACATTCACAATTGTATATGCATAAGCCACATTTTTATGTATTTAATATGCATTCCACCAATTCAGTGACATGAACTACAAGGAAGATTTATCTGCGAATTTCCTGTAGCTATACTTTTTTTCTGCTAAAAAATTGTACATGTATGTAGTTTCATGGTTGATTTGAGGTCGCATGATTTAAGCCAGTATTTGATCAGTTGTGTAAATCTCATGGGTATTGCATAGTGGTCATATTATACGGTGAGATCGGATGAATCCAGTTTTAGATACAGGGTTCATAGCAGAGTGTTTTTGTGTGTTATAATTATTTGTCACACAATCGAGGGAGCTCCTAGGCATTAACCTGAAAGAATTAACCTTCCAAATATCAAAATATGATATGTAATTATTTAAGTGGTTGAAAGATTTCTTCGAGTGCTATGCAAACATACATGAATTTTTTCACTCAGCTTCATCTTCAGCAAGTATTTGTCCCTTGTATAATTTGTATAATTCTTAGAATGATAGAATGTGTAAGCAAAGGTTTAACACCGTGTCTTTTTGCATTGGTTAAAAACAGTGTTTTAGGAACCCTGATTTTTAGGAGGAATTAGTAAAATGTGCGAAACAGCCGTTGAATATTTGATTGATTTTTTCACCCGTTACATTAATCATTTGGAGAAAGTTGTATACCTATAATGAAAGTAAATCTAGATAAACCTACATTTGTGTTGAATAATAAAAGTTTGCTACAAGTTCTACCTGCACAATGGAGGCTATTCCAGACCTTTATAATGTTGATAATTATGGTTATAGTGACCTGGATAACCGACCAGTTTGGCTACCTGCAGGCCTCGAAAATTTCATTGCAGTTAATGTTGACTCGGGAATTTCACTTTGAATCGGACAATAACGTTCAATGTGCTGACAGTTATCCAAACTGTTTCAATGCAGATATTTTACACCGATTAAACAATTCTGTAACAAACCCAAGTTTTTATTCCAAAAGAATGGTTGTTCCTGCACCTGCCATATATTTGAAGCTTCACGAAGGAATAGGAAATCAACTATTTCAATATTCGTGTGGTTATGCACTAGCGAGAAAGCATAATTATCCTTTGTATCTCAATGTTCCCGACCAACTCGTCTCAAGTTCATCTTCTGTGAGGTACATAGACCATCTTCCATCCGATTTTACTTGATCAAAATGAGTCATTTCACATTCGTTGTCGTCCATCATTTAGACCAAACCCAGCGAAAGTACGACCCTTGCTGTCCCTGCACTCCTTTGACATCCCACTTCACTTGAACGTGGTGAATGACACTTGGAAATTTGATTCTTCTCCTCAGGAACTTGATGACCGTACAATACTCGCAGGCGGTTACAATTTAAACTCGATCCTGCATCCCACCGGCCTTTGCCAATCGGAAACTTTCTTTTTCCCAGTCAAAGAAGAAATATTAACCTTGTTTCAACAAAAAGCAATATTGTCAAGAGCAGTGGAAAAGTTGGTGGGTCTCATCAAGAACTCGGAAAGTGTAGCTGTTCAAATTCGCCAGGGGGATGTACCCGATGGGAATCGGGTGCCACTAGCTTATCATAAATACGCAATGAAACATATTTTACAAGAGCTAGGCCCCACCAGCCATCCAACATTTTTTATATTTTGTGAAGCTGAGGAAGAGGTTGAGATTTTGAGACAAGAATTCAGTCCCGAAATCATACATCAAAGTCAGCTACATTTCGTATGCGATACAAATGCGTTGAGCTATCAGCAGTATTTTTATGCCTTATCGAAATGCAAGCATAGTATTATCTATAATAGTTTTGGGTGGTGGGCTGCTTATCTTAATACAAATTTAGAGAAGTTCGTGGTCGCGGCGCATTTTGACCCAGAAGAGATTGAGTTAATGTTTAAAGATCCAAGGGAGTCGTTTTATATGAAATGGCAGTTTAGATATATGTATTTCCCAATTAATTGGCATGTCGTAGATATAAAAACATTAGATGTGTAATCTTTACTATGATGAATAATCTTTAATATGATGAAGCACTGATTTACGCAGGGCTGTGGTACTTAATTACTTTTGTACTTAATTACTTACTTAATTACCGAACTTGAAGTAATTGGTAATTGATAATTGATTTCAATTACTCCGGTATTTGTCAAAGTAATTCTGTACTTAAGTACTTGAAGGACCTGGAGTAATTAAAATTGGAAGTACTTAATTACTTGGCCAAGTAGTAATTAGTAATTGAATACTCAATTACTTTGATCAATTACTTAATCGAACATACTTGGAATGAAATACGACAAGTCTCCCTCTCCCGAAGAACTCGAATTATGTAAATATTTACATATCTTTTGTTGTGAACACTTTGGTCATCATTCCCATTAAGCTTTTGCACTTCAAGCTAATTACAATTTTATATTACAATTGTTTCAACTGGCTAGGTTCCATGGGCTGCAAAAATTATCTAAGCAATGTCGTTAGTCAGAGTCAGGTAAAATACAATAGATAGAAATGTACGCATTAACAACTTTAATGTTATAATTGTGGAAAGAAAATGCCATTATCTCTCTGGAGTAAAGATCCGCGGCAATTTTAAACTTTTGGATCATATAAATGAACTGTTTGCTGTACCAAGATATTTATAAAAGTTTTATCCTGTTCGAAAATGATTTTTTTGGTCGAAAGTTAGCCTTTAAATAGCGTTTAATTAATTTGAAGTGTGATTATTAAGTAATTAGTAATTAAGTAATTGACTTTCAATTACTAATAAGTAATTGGTAATTGAATTCAATTACATGCTTGCAAAGTAATTGTAATTGATAATTAAGTTCAATTACTGGACAAAGAAGTATTTGTAATTAGTACTTAATTCCAATTTTCGCAGACGGAGTAATTAAGAATTAAGAATTAATTACTTCCATTTGTAATTGAACAGCCCTGGATTTACGTACGGTTGTGAATTGTTTTAGAAATACTTGTAGCTGTGAAAGATAATATATAAAAGTTGAAATATATACCGTAATATGAAATCCAACGAGAGTTTGTACATTTCCTCTTTGATTTTGAATTTACAGTAACTCTCGTCTTGTCGTGATTTTCTTTCTTTGATTTCATTTAATTATCTTTAGGATAAAAGGTTGGCAAACGCTACACAACGATTAATTCAATCAACATTTTGCGTGCATGTCTCATTTCAGCACAATGCATACTGAACAATTAATTTGAGTCGACACTTTATACACGTCAGCGTAATATAGTAATATCAATCACAATGCCTTGATGACACATACATATGTACATAAATGTTGATCATCTGCGTATAGTATCTTATTTTTCTGTCACATAATCATAAACATACGCAAGAGTTACGATATGAATGAAAGAGAAATGTCCGAATGAGATAAGCTAACTGATTTGACTAACATGCAATGCTGACCCAAGTTTCCAAGTTGCATTAGTTTATTTATCGAACATCTCTTGAACCATTTAAAAAATCGAGAAGCAGAAGGACAAGAATAATAAATATTTACCAGCACTAGACTAATTTAATTCAAAAATAGGAATGAAGGGAAACCGAAATCCCAATGTCGCGGGTTAGTCACTGAAGTGCTGCGACGACACGCGAACTTGCATATGCACATCATCGACATCAAGGTTGAGTACAAAATGGTTGATCACATCGACACTGAAGGTGCGCCAAGATAATGAAAGCCCATCGAGAAACTGAAATAATGAGCAACCCAAGTTCATTCTGGACCCCCCGTAAAAGTTTTTTAACCATCATCGCAGTTGCAGTGTTTGTCTGTCTTTACACCGTAATCCTAAGTGATTACAACGTACACACAACTGTTTTTCCAGTATCCCCCCGCCTTGAAAAGCTGCACTATAGTACTCAGGCTGGAGGAGCTGCTAATAATACGTTCAGGTATTCGAATGTGTGTATTAACTGATACTATTCAATAAAAGCGTGTGATCTGTAACCACTTGGTATTTCCCTTATGTGTAGTACAACAACGGTGTCTCATACACGTCAACCACCACCTCAGCCACTTAATTCTGTCACGGATAAGTCTTATTATCCCAAAATCGGCCAGATTCACCCACCGGCAGTGTTAATGCGGCCAAAAGGAGGCACCGGAAACCAATTATTCCAGTATGCCTGCCATTACAACATCGCTCGAAAGCATAACTGGCCCCTCTACGTTATGCTACCCAGAGAATATTCTAGAGGTATGTCCAACAGAACTTGGGCGACCCTCCAACGAGAGTTTGCTCTCGACCAGTTCCACATTCCTCTGCACGACTGGAACATAGTGAACGAATCTTGGAACACAACTGGCGGTCATGCCGTTACAGATTTTGAAATGCTCCAGGGAGATTATCCACTGGACAAAGTCATTCAACAAGGTGGAGACGACTATTGTCAATCAGAGGCATTTTTCTCGTCATACAGGGATGAGCTATTGGAATACTTTGTCCAGAAGATTGAAATTGATCCTATCAAGGACTGGATAAAGAAAATTGATGAAGCGGAAGAATCAGTTGGGGTCCACGTGCGTCGTGGGGATTTCCTTCCAATTGGCGTATCCATTCCCTTGAGCTTCCATCGAAACTCGATGAACCGAATTGTGGAAAGACTGAGAGGAAGAAAAGTGGCGTTTTTCCTATTTTCTGATGACATTGAGTACGTCGAGAAGAACTTGTTCTCCGAGCAGAATGATTTTCCTAGACGATTTGAAGTGTATCATGTAACGGATCCCAAACAACCAAATAGTTTGCAAGACTTGTTTCTCATGTCAAGATGTAAACATCAGATTATTGCGGATAGCTCATTTTCATGGTGGGGGGCGTATCTCAACAGAAACACTCAAAAAATAGTATACGCCGCCCATCATCCCTCAAGTTCGATTGAGAAGATGTACCCAAAGTGGTCAAGGGCTATGTATACCTGGGAATATAAATATCTTTATTATCCATCCAGTTGGATTGCGGCTGACCCCAAGTTAGATGATATAGATTCCGATGTTAATGAAATACAATTAAATAAATTGAAGAAAAAATTGACTCCGAGGACACATACTTAAAGTTTAAAATGACTGATTGATTAAATTGGCAAAGTATATTTTTGTTTACCATTCGATAATATTTTTTCCCCAGATTAACTACATAAAAATAAATCTTTACTCGAGATGAAACTTATTAGCATTTCAGAGCTACATATGTATTATTTGCATTGCAATTATTCTTATAGCATTGGCAGAATATACATATAAATACTTACATTAAATTTACCTAAAACTTGATCTGGCTACAGCCGTCTCTATTATTTTGTGTGTATGTCAATCATAATTAAAATACACAATGCTTAAAGATAAATGTACATAACTTCCTAAATTCTTGCATTTTCAGAGCAGAAGTCAAACTACACGATTCTATCGGATTGGTTAGTTTTCACTGATGGAATAGCAAAATAAATGGAGCCCCATGTGGACAAAAGCAGCTGAATATCATAATCTCATGAAACACTCAATCAAATCATGCAATGATGGAGGAAGTGGAAATTCCAACCATTTATTTCTCTCCACCTAAACACACGACCCGTCGAGGTGGTCAACCCCACAGTCGTGACTTTTGGAATAAATTTTCCAAATCTCAAGGAGCTACAACGGCAGTGCTAAATTTCCGTAAAGTGTTGTTCCACAAACTCTGTGATGACACAACAACCCACGGAGCGGGGGATAAGGTGGGTGAGGCTCAAAGTGACCACATGCACCAACACCAAAGTCATCCTCGCCCTCCTTCCGCTGTTATCAAGCCTCGTCAGAAGAAGAACCACAGATCAAATGCCAAGCTAAAGTTACCTTTCAAGTGGCATCAAGTGTTGCTCCTCATCGGCCTCCTGGCCCTCAGCTTGTTTTGTCAAGTCTCTGAAGAGTGTCCGGTGGTTTGCGAGTGCAAGTGGAAGAGTGGAAAGGTTGGGGAGCACTTTAATTGTAATTAAGTTACGTTTAACTTCTATATATATCTATGATTTGTATTTAAGGAAAGTGTCATTTGCGCAAATGCAAAGACAAAGTTAACTGCTATACCAAGTGGTCTTGAGCCTGGAACTCAGGTACTTTAAATATTTTACACCGCTTGACTTGTTTAGTTAAATGCTTCGATATTTGTCAATCAATAAATTCCAGAGGGGCCAAATTTGGTAACGTTTGCATTGGCACGTAAAAGGGTCATGCATTTTTTATCCCATTCCTAAAATATATTCACCTCTGTTTTTCGAAATCCATTGCTTACTCCCCTAGATAATTATTATTATTACTCAAATGGCTATTTTCTTGCATGCTTTTATCTAATACAGCATAATATAAAACAATTCACTGCAAAATACTGGATTCTGTATTTCTTTTAGCTTCTTGACCTCTCAAGAAACAACATCCAAATTTTGCAGTCAAAAGTCTTTCAAACCCGCAACCTACTGAATCTCCAAAAAATATTTTTGTCAGGTGAGTTTCAACAATTAATTAATTAAAAAAGATATTCAATGTATATGTAAATATGTATGTGCATATATTGGAATGCATACGTACAAATATATTTGCAGATATGCAGGTGCATAGTACTCTAAATGTATTCTAATTCTTTGCTTTTAATATTTCAGAGTGCAATCTCAAGACTTTAGAAAAGAATGTGTTTTATAAACTGAATAATTTAGTGGAATTGAACTTGAGCTCTAATAAATTGGAGGCAATCCCCACTCACACCTTTGAGCAGATACCAGAGATAAGAGAGTTGAAAATGAACTCGAATCCAGTGACTCGTATTTCAAACAACGCTTTCTCTACGCTGACACGTCTCGTGAGGTAAATATGCATTTTGATATTTTTGAAGAAAATACACACGTAAACGAAAAATGAGGATAATATAATATGTCAATTTATTAATTCATTCATCAATAAGTACGGATAATTGTCTATGCTATCTCTTATTCTAGACTGGAATTGTCAAGATGTCGAATTCGTTTTGTGGACTCGTATGCCTTCAGAGGGTTAATCTCACTTGAATGGCTTAAACTCGACAACAATCGGTTACTCACGATTCAAGTAAGCATGAATTATTTTGAACATGAGAACAAGTCGCAATTTGTCATCAGGAAAGTATAATTACGTAATAAAACGCAATTTTAGGCAGTCTCATTCTCATTTTTGAGAAATCTTCAAACATTAAACTTGTCCGATAACCCATGGAACTGCACTTGCTCTTTACAACCACTGCGTGATTGGATGTCAAAAAATAACGTATGAATTTAATTGTCACCCTGTACTTGTTGTTTTCTAATGTGCTATTTATCAAGCAGATCCCCTACAGTGATCCACCCGTGTGTTCATCCCCATCAAGATTAGTGGGAAAATCTTGGAATCAGCTACAGCGAGAGGATTTTGCCTGTGTCCCAAAAGTACAAAACTCGGTTCTGGCAGAAACTGGAGAGTTGACAAAGGCCATCGAAGGGGAAAATGCCACACTCGTTTGTCGCTTGCAAGCCACTGCTGACACTCAAGTAAGTGCACAATTATTATTACTATACATTATGTCGGCCAAAAATGAAGACGCGTTCGCGATTTGGAAAGTTCTCATGAAAATTTGAGGCATCAGAGAAACGGAGCAGAAGAAGAAGAATGATTTATTTCTTGTCATCGTTTTTCTCCTTATATACAAAAGCATTTGCATATCAAGTTTGACTCTTGCAACGATACGACGATGTTCTTTTTCGCTATTGTAGGTGCGATGGATTGCGGGTAGCAGGCCGATTTCGAGCAGCAGCTCATCTCGCTACTCTCTCTCAGAGTCCTTCCTCCCTGACGATGGGGAGAAAGTAATTCATACGCAACATCAACCTCTCACAACGTCAACTTCTTTCTCCGGAGCCAAACAGAGTCTGGGGACAAAAACATCCAGATTGACAGTAATCAAAACAAAATTACAAAACTCGGGTACGTACAGTTGCCGTGCTGAAACTAGGGCAGGGTCCGTGTCAGCCAATTTTACCCTCCAAGTCATGCAGCTTAATGCAGAACAACATTCTGGTATTTAGATAAATTATGACGACCGTTTAAGTTTAATTTTCACAACTAATTATGATTTTATGATTATTATGTGTAGGTCGCTTTCTCTTGTATGGAACAACGGTGGCAGCAATTTTGACACTCATAATTTGTATTGCAATATTGTGCGTCGTGTTTTTCTGTGGAAAACGAAAATGCAGCATTTCGGCTGAGGATAAAACGGAGCATGTATCGCAGAATGGGCGAATTTCGTCACAAAATGGCCACTGTCTGCAATCTCGGAATGGTGGGACAAACGTTCCACTATTACAAAATCATAACAGGAGTTCTCCCAGCTCGAATGGTACTCCTAAGCATCGCCCCTTAAACAACATCGGCAATGGACTTTTACGCAATTTTAATATTGCAAAGAAGCCAGATATTGAAATGACCAGGCCGCCAGTCCCTATTAACAATATCCCACCAAACAGAGGTTTACTAAATCCACAATATAAAGCTCTGCCCACACAGGATGACTCTCGTGATGTCAATCTTGACCATGACTCCTCTTCCGACTTGGAAGACAACGAGATTAAAAATGAGCCTGATTTCTCCACTTGTAATAACAGAAATTCCAAAGTGTTTGTAGTGGACATTCCAGAACCTTTAAATCCCTCCACCTCCGTGTCTGTGAGCGCTACATCGGAAAATAAATTTCCTGACCTGATCAATGAAGAAAGTTCGTCCAATCGCCATAAAAATGTTGACAATAGTCAAGCAGCTGTGTAAGTAAACATTTTCAACGCACATAAATAGAATTGATGAACAATCATGTTTTTCACGTATTCAAGAAATATTTATCACTTCTACATATCTAACCCCACCACCAATGTGTGTGCATGTATTATTAGAAATAGAGTTTGTTATACATACTGTATATAAGGCACACAAGTTAATTCCCAAATGTATATCCTGTCAACTTTACAGAACAGATTCTTCCATTTTCACTCCCATTCAAAGTTTCACCCATTCAATTCCCAAAACCATTCTCGCTGCATCCTCATCCGCAGTCAACTTTAAAACTTTTAATGTGTCTGAATAAATGACCGAAAAATCCCATCTCATTTCCGTCACTAGGAATTTCAAAACTTTTTGGATCTCATTTGCAAACTTGACAGGCAGTATTTTTGCATAAAACATTTCTCAAGACTCGTTCAGGAATTAAGTTCAAATTTTGCAGTATTGTATGAAACCCTACGATTCAACTGTTGGAAATGACACTATAAAGAATGTATGTATGCACACTTTTCGTTGCAAACATCCATAATTTGATTTCATGCATCTTAAACTTTTAAACATTTCACATTTTCTAAAAAAAATAGAGACAAACCCACATTAATATTCTGGAGTAAATGTCAACCCACTTTGAAAATGCCATCTTTTCCGAGTCCATTTCAATTAAGTGAATTTAGAATTCTAGAATTAAGTTGAAATGTCCTGTCAGAACATGAGACCTCATTAGCATTCTCTTTGAAAACCTTACTGTGGCTCCTACTACTATACTTTGTCTTATCCCCCAAGATATGCATACTCTGAATTTTGCCTTTGGTTAAAATGGGACAATCTTGCAAGAATAAATGTGACCTTACGAACAATAAACCTGTGTAATGCATGTAAACGTTTTAATCTTAACAATGTACGTACAATAATATGGGTAATTAAGGCAGTAAAGGTGCTGCTTGAAGAATAATCTATTTATTTAAAATACTCTTTAACAGGGGATCACCTCCAGAAATGACGAGCACTGCAAAATCATCTCCTTGTTCATCCGAAGAACATGTCCAACCGGTGCAAACAGTAAACTCGCATCGGCGTCCCAACTCGGAGAGCTTGTCCCAACCACCCCAGTCACACGGCCTCTCATCCCCCCTAAAATTGCAGTCAAATGAACCCACCGACAACACCCCACCACCGCAATCAGTCAGAATTTGCAATTCCTCCGCAACACCCATTCCAAAAAACAGCACTTCTAACTCAAACGCCAAGTCCAAGAACGAGTATCCATATGCGTCCACCTACCAAACAGCACCTTCAACTCCACCGACCTACACCAAATTTACCTTCACACAAAAACCAGCACCACTCATCCCAGCCCCACGCCATCAAAGGACCTCCTCATTTTCATCCAGTGAAACGCACACCGAATCTCGCCCAACTGGTCAAAATCCAAATCACATTTCCTACTACAGACTGTCCAGTAATTGTGGTCAGCAGCTCCCCCAACGACGAGGACCCCCATTTCAGCGACGAAGTGAGCCCACGTCGCCCATCCACCATCCCGCCCCACAACCGTACCACCATCAGTATCATCGTCACCACCACCTACATTATCAGAACCAGGGCTCAGATCCAGGCCTGATTAATCATCAAGCCTTTGTCGGCCAGTCTCAAGAGTATGATTATCACGCTGCACAGCTTGCCGCATTTTTGGAAGAATATCGCCTGCTTCAAATGGAACTCATGAGGATGAGCGCCTCCCTGACGGAAATGGACTCGGCACCCGTAACCGGAGGAAATAATACCAACTCCAACATTAACTTAAACTCAGTAGACAACAATCCGATGATACACCTGCACCAGCAGCAAAGACTGGCGTCATCATCCAACAATGCCAATAATTTTGCGGACTTTCACCCTAATCAACAACAACAGTTCAAATCCATCCTAAAAAGTTCTGCCCCAAATAACAACTACTTGGTGTAAACTTCATCCAGTCATTTATTAGCGTAAAACTATTATTCTATTCTGTGCATAAAAGAGATCTGAAGAAATTACATTTTTGTACATATAATGTGTATTCAATAAATGCATAAGGAACAGCTTGTTGCTGCTCCAAATACTTTAGCTAATTAATTAATACCAGTAATGGGAAAACAATAAAGTTGTATGATATTCTAAAAAAGCCCAACGAGCTAATTGGAGAAAGTTGAGAAATGCGTATCATTTTGCCTCATTTTGTCTCAAGTGTCAATTTAGCTAATATATTCATGTACATGCTTGTCATAGTTCACTGTGGAAGCCGACGAGCATGGTCCGCATTGTTAGATATACGATTAGTTTAAATAAAATATATCGGTCGCCTGGTTTTGGCATCCACCTCAATGTGGTAGCTTTCACCACTTTCACCCATTCATTAAAACGTGTCTCAAATTCAACGGCACACAAAATGCAGCGCGCACACGGCCGCTCGTGCTTGTTATTTCGTCTCTGACTGATCAAAGTTTTACTAATAATTTCGCAAAATTCATAGCAGGATCAAGTTTACCAGATAAATCATATTTCAAATTGTTGAATCATAAACTACGTAGTGATTCTCAGTCGGCAACCCGTTGAACGACATTGGTCGTTCAACTAGTTTGATATAGATTATCAGTGACGGCAGTGAGTGACGGTTCTTGATTCCCAACTTTGTTAATACCGGTCTGTTCTTAAACGAGCGAGATGGGACCGGCGCTGGGAAGATTGAAAATTTTATTGCGCCCAGTCCAGAACTACAACGTGGAGGAGCGTGCGTTCAAAGTCATTTCAAAAACAAAGCCGACTCAGGCTCCCCCACATCCCAAGATGCAATCCATTATGGACGAAATTAAACAGGGTTAGCAATAATTACTTGCATATTTTTTTACACTTTTGTATCACTTCTGCATCACATTAAAAACTTTATTTTTCTAGACCCAACATTATTGTCTAAAGGAAAATTAGATCCGAAAACTATGGATAATTTATCGAAAGTGTTTCTCAGTTCGAAGGGTGATAATCCCGTGATTGAAACTAGGAGGAAACTGCCGAGAGAACGGAAAGGATGGGATGGATACGAGTATGGTTATGAGGAGCCCGACAAGATTCCGCAAGGAAAAGCTAGCATGCGACAAGTTTTAGATATTTTAAACGCTTATGAAACGAAACCTAGCATCAACACGCCAGAAAAATTGGCTGCAGAGTATAACCTAAATTTACAAGATGTTCAAAATTTGTTAAAATATTTTAAACCTTTTCAAGTTTATATTCCCAAGAAAGAAAAAAAAGAGAAAGTAGGACCGCTAAAATTACTTCAACAGAAAATGGATCAAGTCAAAGAGTAAATTTATCAAAGTGTACGACTTTAAAATAAGTAGTAAAATTTAGCTTTATAATAATTGTCGTGTTCGTATTTCAAAGCGTGTCAAATCCATGCATATGAAACCAAACCCAGTGTTTCATTACTAATTATTATTGAGTCCTAAGTAATAGTCGTTGCTAAATAAAGTCTGATCAATTTATATGGTGTTTAGTCTGGATGAAAATTAGCTTTATTGAGTGAGTTTCAGTCATTGAATACAGTTTAACAAGAAATATAAAATTTCATTTCGTCAATAATTTCTGGTATTATATTGAAAAATAATTTCATAGTAGTATCAAACTCCTAATGCAGCAAGTTGTTCCAATAATTCATTTTCAGTCTTCAGCTTTTCTTGTTGATTTTTCTCCACCGTTTGACCGTCTTTGATATTTTGTTTTATTTTCTCAATGGCTTCTAGTTTCTGAAATTAGGAAAACAGGCTCATCAGTTATGAAATTTATAAATATTTGTTTAGTTTTAAGAACAACAAATAATGACAACCTACCTTTCTAATTGCTCTCCCTTTCTTCTCATTCTCAGTTAACTGACTTTGTGCAGGGTTTGTCGTAGTTAATGCACCTTTAGGCGTTGAACCCCCACTTCCAATAATTCCACGTTTTGAAGGAGGAACGTACACGGATGATCTCTTTTGTTCTTCCACTTCTACAACAATAGTTATACTTATAGTTTATTCAAAAACATCGTGTTGTTATTGAATTGATTATAGATGATATTTACATACTTGCTGGTGGTGGTTTATTTCCAAGAGTTTTTATAAACTTATCCAAGTCCTCGTCTGGGAATGGCATGGGAGGTTCAGGCTTTAAGGGTACGACTCCAAAGAGATGCTTCTCTGCTTTCCATTTATGAACTTCTTTTCCCTTATAATTCCAAACGGTGAATTCATTCCCAACTTGCATGCGTGGAGCTGTGGTCGCTGTTACAAAGTGACAACCGTCACTTAGCCATTCCAATTGAGTTGTTGCAGGAGCAGTACATGTTGCGATTAATTTGCGATATTTCTTAACTTCCCAGATCTCTATCCTGCCGTGAGCTAAATTTCCAAAGCCTCCTAACAGAAGGATATTTCCCTGGGGGTTAAAGTAAATCGAATTCCTTGCTAAAATGTCCATGTCGAAAATCACTTCACATCTATAGAGATTATGCAATATTTTAATGAAAAATACTTTCTAAAATGAGACAATATTGTCTCATTATATTTATATTTAAATGTGAATTTACTTTGAGTTAAGCAAAACAGCCCGAGTCTGTGGCATTTTCCCAGTAATAATTGCAAACTCGGTAGAACTTGGGCTCCATTCAGCTACAATAAACAGGGATCGTATTAATATATTGGTGAAATGTAAAACAATAAATGTAACTTGTGTATTTTATTTTAAAAACACTCATGTACCACAATGAATGATAGCAGAATCCGATTCCGTGTGAACTTGTGCTGTTTCACCTGATAGATAATCGTAAGGTAATTAACCACACATATTCAACTTCCGATTAAATTATATTGTGTACCCTTAATATCCAAATAATGCAGCATTGTTTTCCCGTAATACGATTGACCACTATTGTCAACGTCGGTCGAAGTGATAAGTAAAACAGCTGTACCCTTCTTGTTCCACTTCATTTCAACTCGATCCGCTTGGAAGGAGGTCTTAGAAGCGATGGCATTGTCAAAATTTGGATATCGAAACATACGAGTAAATGATGGCTGACCAGGGGCACCTGTATAATACACAACAAAGCGCATGTCTCAACCATAAAATCTCTAAAAATATGTATGACAAAGACAAATTGTAACTTGTAGGGTACAAACCAGGTACATAGCATAAAACAAAAAGAGGGCCTTGCTCCGGCGTGTGTGGTGCCGTGGATAATGAGAATTTTGTAATCTTCATAGTATCAGGTGTTTTCTTGTCCGTTTTATGAAAATCGGGAAGTTTTGAGAATATGATGGCGTTGTTGGACAGCCTGGCAAACAAGTTTTCGTCTGGAGAAAACTGTGTATCTGGCTGAAAAAATGAATTTCAATTAATATATCTCAAACCTGTAGGACAATAATGTATTATTGTTCAAGTCTGATTTTCTGTGTGCTAATTCGAGCGTCGGTTTGAAGCGTAGTCACGGCCGTCACCATTTCAACTCCGTTGGTCACATCACAAGACGAACAACTTCTGTCAACAATTTCGCGATAATAATAAATAGAAATTCAAACTTTTCGCTGCATCTGCATATGCAATTTCTTCTGATGGGCGAATCAGAAGAAAAAATGGATTCGATAAAGAAGAAACTTTAGTATATTGAAAAATACCAAATTTTGCGAAGTCGCTCATGTCATGTTTTCACTTTTAACTTGTTACTTACTTCCCTGTCTATATCATATAGACTATATGTACATGTAGATATATTGCAAGTTTGCAACATCAAAATTCATACGTTCTTAGTACTAATAGACATTGAAGTTTCCAGTTTTGTAAACGTACAATTAGTTTATCAATAAATTAGTCCACGTTACTATTAACTTTGTAAAACGTCATATTTGTCTTTTAATATTATTACCTGTTTGCTCAATTTCATGGCATGAACTACTTTTACATCTTTCCCATTTCCGATCGACCAAATTTTGAAATTGTCAGAACCTGAGGAAAATACATGATTAACAAACAACGATTATGTAATTTACATTTCATATTTTTTCTTAAACTTTCTTAAAAGAAAAAAATGGTTACTTTGGCTTGGATTGTTCCATTCGATCAAATACCCCCCACAAGGGGAAAAGGTCGCGCCCAACATCCTTTTAGCAATGACAGCTTTGCTACTGCCATCTCGGGCGTCATAAATATTCACCCTAAAATATAACGTATGCAGATATTGATATCCATGCAAAAAATGTTATAATCGTCCTTACTCTGAGTTGTTTCCAATCGCCACGAGGTTCCCGTTCGAAGAAACACTTGTGAATCGTGCCTCTTGTAAATCCTTCTGGAGTCCATCCCACTCGCTAAAGTGGGGTGGCCCATTCAAGGCATATGTACCCCCCGACTCTTTCACTGTAAAAAGTAAAAATAATTTATAAATTTAAGGTCACAGGGTCCAAAGTAAAAGTGGATTTACCGATAAACACACTCGTGGCAGCCATGGCCAGATGGGTTTAGATTCGTATTTGTCTGCTGTCACCCCAACCGGGTGGAGATTCAAACTTGATCAACATAATAGAGAACACTCCCAATTTCGTCCTCTGCAAACTAAGAATAAAAATTAGTTCTAAATAGTAAATTGTTCAACCAGTGTTGAAAATTAACTCAAGTGACGACAATTAACACGAACACGATGATTTACTCGTATACGCCAAAGTTAGTCGCAGCCATTGGGGGTATAATGCTGGTGCTGTGCTTAGCGTCGATGAGTTGGGCTGAATCTTTTTCAGCTGCTGCTGGTGACCAAGTTCAGATCGACGATCTCATTTCCTCCCTCACTTTGGATGACAACATTGTGAGCAATAATTTTTAATTAAAAGGGGATGTTTTTTTATTTGAATGGTCTAATTATTCTTGTATCAGGGGGAACCTCTAATTCGAAAAGCTCGTCAAGCACCTGGACCAACACCAGCGCCAACTCCTACCCCAACAGGCGATGTAATAAACAACAGAATAAAAACTAACTATCATAAGGAAACGTGACTTAAATTAGCATAATCTGTAGGATTTGAACCTTGCGGACGATGTCAGTGAAGATTACCCAGTAGTTTTCAATATCATATTGTTCCTTGCAATCACTCTTATCTTGGCCCTAATTGCTATCAGTGGTATGTTGTGCTTGTTAAGTTTTTGATGATTTGCGTGAGAAAAGAACTGGGATTGATATTTCTTGCATTCAAAATTAGTATCACTGGCGACGATGGACCCTGGACGAGATTCGCTGATATACCGTGTCACTTCTGCTCAAAGATTCAAGAAAGACAACTAGTGTATGGAAGAGAAAAATATACAGTTTCGTCTCGATAAGAGTATACAATCTCTACACACATTCCATAGTTTTCGATTGTTAATTTGCGTTGTAGTCAGTCATTTAGATTAGTTAATTACGTGTTAAATCCACCGTTTAATTCGAAAAATTAGCATTCGTGTAAATTAGTTCTGTATATATTATTAATATTATTATTATTATTACGATATGTTTCATCTAGTCTGAGAACGAAAGAGATACTAATAATAATATCATTAATAATACGAATGATTATTCTGTTAAATTCCCTTTTGGATTTATTGTATTTCGCCTTTGGGAATCTTTTTTACGACATAACATGTGACCAGAAGAATGTTATCCTCCCAAATATAAAACAATCTATTTACTATTATAATAGATTAACGTAATAATTTAATAGGCATAAGCTGGGGCAGCTCCGTATTGATAGGATGGAACTCCAGCGGCATACGTGGTCTGCAATACTGGGGTGGCAACATTTTTAACTCCAGGAACGGAAACTGGAACACGGGCAATTCCTTGGATTGGGGTCTTGAAAAGAGTCGGTACGTTTACCGCCTTTGTAAGTATCTTGGTTGCCGGTTCCTGAATGTCAACCTCTTGAACGGTTTCGATTGGGCGAGTGACAACTATTCTTCGGGTGGTAATTCTCTCTCCTCCTTGAAGATTCAAGTCCTGCAGAGAATCAGCAACTTGCAAGACGGAAGCTGAGTTTGGTGCTCCATTCTCTCCAAGGACTTCGGTCACAGTACCTGTAACAAGGGGCACACATTAATGGTATGGGAAGCACAAGTGTCAAACTTGTATTCGCGACTCGTATCACCAACATAACATACCTCCCTTTGCAGACAAGAGTTCCAAAAGGCGGGCTTGGATTTCCACGGGCATTTCCCTCAAGGAAAGTCGGGTACCTTGAGCTGGACCTTGTTGTTGCTCTTGTTGTGGGACAATTTGTTGGGGTTGCTGTGGTTGTGGGGCTGCAGCTGGGGCAGAATCAGCATCAATGATTTCAGCATCAGCAGAGCGTTGGAGTTGGGGTCGTGGTTGAGGTTGAGGTTGTGGTTGACCTTGTGGTCTCAATTGGAGAGGTTGGAGTCGTGGAGCTAATTTTTTAAATGAAAAAATTAATTAAATCGTCATCATCTTGGGCATTTTTCGTTAGCAATATTGTGTAATATTTTACCTGGAGCTGGGGCAGCGGATCGGAGTTCGGGACCTTGTTGTTGAGGTTGAGGTTGAGCTTGTTGCTGAAATTGCTGTTGTCTTTGTTGTTGTTGATGTTGCTGGAATTCTTGTTGTCGCTGAAGTTGTTGTTGGTTGAATTGCTCTTGTTCTGCGTCTTGTTGTTGTTGGAATTGTTGAGGTTGTTGTTGGAATTGTTGAGGTTGTTGTTGGAATTGTTGAGGTTGTGGGGCAGGAGCAGCTCTAAATTCTGGTTGCTGAGGTTGAGGTTGAGGGGCAGGTCGGAAGTCGGGTTGTGGAGCAGCTCTTAATTCCGGTTGTGGGGGAGCGGGGGCAGCTCTGAATTCGGGTTGTTGTTGTGGGGCTCGTTGAAGGGGAGCTACCATACAAAAAACTCCAAATATAAGACAAATTGTTCATCAAGAGCATCAGGAGCTTTTTTACCTGGAGCTGGAGCTGGACCGGATTCGATGCCTCTGGCCAGGTTGGCACGAACCTGAGCGAGCTGAGACACTCCTTGTCCATCAATGATCTGACGACCGAGACCATATCGGACGACGGGAGCAATTTGCTGGTAGTTGGTTGGGGTCAAGACAGCGGGTCCCTATGTAAAATACAAAAAGAATACGATTTAAAGAATGGTATGAATTTTTCATTTTATGGGTTTCATATATCCCTACTTACCTTTTGTTCTTTGGCGATTGGCTGGCTCAACTCGAGAGTAGCTGATCCTGCTGGACGGACAATGACGCGGTGCTCAATATCGTAGAATTCCTTTCGGAGAGCTGGTCGTCGGACTTTGACACGTCGGTTGGTCACAGCTTCAACAGTCAACAAAAATAATTAACAATGCTTCATGACGAAATTTGTCATGATACACACGAATCATGGGCTCTTTTATATACCTGGTTGAGCAACATCAATCAACTTCTGGGTGACTCCTTGGGTGTAAGCGAGCTTGGTCACTGGAACATCAGCAACTCCGGGAACCTGGATTGGAACTTGGTGGTGGGCATAGCCAACCTGTCAAAATAGTGTTATCATGTTGCATTTGCCTAATAATTTCACAGTTTTTATTGACTGTTCACACCTTTTGGGTGACAGCCACAGCTGGAGCATGGTGATATTGAACGGCTGGGGTTTCATGGTGATATTGAAGTGCTGGAGCCACTGGGGCGGCAGCGTATTGGGGGGCAGCTGCTGCGTATTGGAGCGCTGGAGCGGGGGCGGCGTACTGAGCGACTGGTTGAGCTGGGCCGAACTACAAGAATTAGTTGAAACTATATTCGTTGAAACCAATCAGGTCATGGCCCTTGGTTGACACGGGAATCACGCGCCTCATGTCATCATTTCTAAAGACTTACAGCGAAGCCTGGAGAGAGTCCAGTACCACGATACGTAACTCCAGCGGGGTTGGCATAAGAATAAGTCGCCAATTGAGGGACTCCAGCCGACGCTACGGCCAAGAGACCCAACACTATAAAACACTTCATGACCTACTTATTAATAAAAATATCACAGAATATAGAAAAGAAGTCCCGAGTCGCTGATGTTGCCACACGTTGTTGCTCAAAGAGCCCGTCCACTATTGATATGAGATTCACATGTCACAAGTTACTTATATAGGTCCGACCCACAAGTCAAGGAGGTCCCTTCCTCGACGCTTGAATGCCTTAGTGACACAACAATTGGTATCCTTTTCTCCCCCTGCATACCAAACCCTACACACATTCCATCGTTTGAATTTGGATGGATCTTGAGACTTGGGTGTGTATATGCATCTAGAAGAGCACATCGTTCCAAGAGATCAGAGTATGGATGGATGGGGATGGGATGGGTACCACCCTTTTCACTAATAGAACGACATAAGGACGCGATATGCAACAGGTTGTGCCTTTGTTTCCCATCCAGAATCATCCACTACACGTTGACCACAGACCATTTATGTGTAATAAAGCGTGTCAGATGAGTTAAATAATAATAGAAATACGTGTATTGGAGATGAAGGGATGCTATGCATTTTATTTAAATTGCATTTGCAGGCAGTGCAACTAAATACATAAATACATTCTTCTTGACACCCCTCCACCACGATCAACTATGTATACTTTTTACCCTTCTATTTTTTTGCAGTCGTTCACTGACGCCAAGTGCGGCTTACCTTAGACGAGTCGTTAACAAGTGGCCAACACCCATCATACTCTCCTTACTCTACATTCTAGGCTTATGTGCATACTTTTGGACCATCAAACAAAAGTAAAACTGTTTTAATTTCATTCTGTCATCCAAATTGATTATCGTTATTATTCCGTACGAATAACTAAAAGCCGTGAGCGACATCGAGCGCACGACCTCATAATATATTATTAACACGAGGTGACAAGACACATGGGCAAACAAATTGAACTAATGATGGACGATTAGCTACTACAAACACCTAATTTTGTGTCACCAAGCATTACAATGAAATTGATTCTTTGCTGTTACAGACTTACAGATACCCTTTGCACAAGGTGTGCTCGGGGAAGAAAAATGACCATAATATGTAGATAGGCAATCACAAAATGCTTTTATTTGCCTTTTCATATGAGATTAACACACACCTGTCAATTTCGTGCCACGCATATTTATTCTATTTTCTGCTGATCGCAATTTGAAGAAATATTTCTAATCTCTTTGAATAGGCAATAGACATATTTAATGAATTAATCCCATTTAAAATTGTCATTTCTAATCCTAATGCACTTCCGTAATATTAAAGTATCCTGTTGTCATTCGTGTATAATAGTAGAAGGCGACCTTTGTAATTAGCTTTGTTGTTAATAAGTGTATGCACTGTATATTTGAATACATTGAACCAAATATGTTTGGTATATTAAAGTATAAATGAACTTGAAATGGTTCAAGCATGAAAAATTGGGTCATCAAAGTGCAGATCGAGAGCTTTCTTTTGGCAGATCAAGGACCGCCAAGGTGAAAGAATAGTAATTAGCAGTTGAAAGAACCTGACTACTGACTTGCAATGTGTACAAGTCCTCCTCCCTCGTGGAACAGGTTGAACGAATAGATAAAAGAAGAACGAAGAACTGCAGCAGCTTTGTTCTCTTATTGCATCATCATTATCATCCCTTCTTGGCCTAGCAGTTTCTTCTACGTAAGTAACACACACACCCAATCAATGACTTTTAATATATATCATTAAAGCAGTATCAAATACAGTCCTTGAATCTGCAGCTAGCGATTTCACATTACTTCTTGGAAAGGAAATGCAGTTTTGCAAACAATGCTTTCATCATGTCTACTGCTTTTCTGTTCATAAGAAACCAGGAGGTTCTTACATAACGTGTAAGCATTCATATTGTGCTTGCTTACATATTATGCATGCATTACTGCAAAGGTTGAAGTCGACAGTCTTCGAACTTTTCCTACGAGGAAAATTAATGCATATGCAGGTACTTGATGCATTATCCCAATTCATCACATCATGGAATGGATGGTCACCTATGCACAATAAATCTACAAATGAAATTACAGGGAATAATCGATGCTAAAGCTGCTGGACATAATAGAACTGTAATGATGTGTTGATAGACCACTAATTTTAATCGTAATTAGTCGCAACTAACTCGTTTATTTTTATGCTGAATAGAGTCTTCAACATAATCATTCCTTTGATAAGCATTATTATGACATTAGCTATTCCCCTCCATAATTCAACGTGTCTTTGTATACATATTTCTCTGCATTTGTTTGTTGCCGAATGCTGAATGTGGTTGTCCTCTCCTCATTAGCTTCCCTTTAATTTCTTCGTACGCTGCAAGGTCAAACTCTTAATTTTTCACTAAATAATACTATATTTGGACTTTATAAATCTGATAGAGTTGTACGCAATTTGATTCGTCATTTGAATAAAACTTATAAAACTCGATCCATTCGATTAATTCAGAACAATGCAGGAAAATCATTAATCACTCATATGTAGATGAACGCTTTACAGGCATACCTACCTACATTACATACAAATATATATCGCACAATTTTACAAAGACTTTGATTTGCAGCTAAAAATAATTCGACGTATTATTAGCTGTCATAAACTGCAGCAGCTAAGGTCACAAGTTCCTAGATTCAAACACTTGAAATTGTTGTTTCATGATTTTTAGTTTTACGACATCACAAGGTTTTCCACTTATATTTGAAGCATACCTGGAAGAATTAATTAGATTTAATTTATTTTGGATAGTTGTAGATTTTTTTTATATTTTATGGATAATCACATTTATTTACCTTCCGCCACACCCAACAGTAACAAATCCTTGCTCAATGTATTTATTCATACATATGTACATATTTATGCGAAATTGTAAAAAATTGAGTCAATGAATCGTGAGCTTTACAATTAATTCTTAAAATATACGAACTTGCATTATGGTGTAGGTAGCTATTTAATAGGTACTGGTTAAAATATCTAACAGTGCAATATTATCATAAGTAATTTCAAAACAAATAATTGATAACATTTCAATTACTAATTATTAGTTGATAGTTGTTCTTGAATAGCAAAGTTGTTAATGCGGATTTAATCATGGGTTATATGAGCAAAACTTATGGTATCAACCCTCTCATCAACCAAAATTAGATTGTTATTTGCACACTGCATACAAAATGGTTCAACTTTTTTTATTGTTCTGGTAATTGAAATTAATCTGCATCATTGTATGCACTGAGGTAACTTTGTTAACACAAAGTGATATAATCTGCAATAGATATCATGAACCGAGATCAGTCTTTGTCATCTTTTTTTACCTACATGCGACTTGTAATAGCTGGTCAATCGCTTCATCTGGTCGACATGTGTAACGTTCGACTGCATGACTCGCTGCCAAGTGAGTTACATATTTACACAAATTGCATTTGCAACAATCACTGCCCACATAAAAAGTCGAACTGAGACTTGACACCGAGCAACAGGTTCTGGTCAATCATGTGCAAAGAACACAAACAAATGGTCAATGCAGTTCATCTTGTGCTCAAAGCATCAATCGATATACGATTTTGTAATTCATTGAGGAATGAAGATCGAATACGTAAATAAAACTAGTCTACACCTCAAGCAGAGAGCGACAAAGGTGATGGCAACTTCAATTAGTGATTATTATTTTATTATGCATTGCATATCGCACACATAGCCATGCGTGCATAGACATAAGGTATTAAGCCACCAAGTCCTCATTAGATTTCAGTGCTTTTGACTCGAGTCACTCAAAAAACAATGTTTTGTTAGACAAAGAAGGGTGTGCGAGACATTTAGGCAGATAGATTCCTAGATAATACAATATTGCATGCGTTTATATGGATTTTGATTCAATTTTAGTGCTAGAATTGAATTGAGGCGGAATCACAATTCAATAATTTCATCTGATGCCGATTGAATGCTTAAGGGATCACTTCATTTTTAAGTACATTTTTCACCATTTGAAATGAAATGACTAAGTTTCATTCATATTTTCTCAAGCTTATTCACTTGACCTTATTCTGTCCCACCTAAACGTCTCTCCATAAATAATCCGATTCGAACTCTTACATATAACGATCTTGGTCATCCACCCACCCACCTACAATTGCGTCTACTTGGATGATACAGTAGTTGAAATTTAATGGTTATGGTCGTAAAAATGTCAGTGTTTTAGAAATGCCTCGGTACATTGCAAATAATTAATCGTTGGAATACCTGAAACCAACGGATGAAATAAAATGGGATGATAAATTTGATTCATTGTACCCAATTATGAAAATTCGTTTAATTAACTCAATACAAAATATTATGTGAAACTTCATTAAACATTCCCTTCCACTATCACTATTGCATATCATTACTTGGAATTAATATAATTTTTCTTGTGGCTTCGATATCGAACAATAAATTCAATTTGTGTGAACTACAACTAAATCATATGAATTTATTGATTGGTCTTACGTAAGACGTCAAATATGCAAGCAGATTGATTTTATGGTCCACTCTTTCCACTCTGCAATAATTGAACGACCAAATTCTGCCCTATTTACGGTGTTGAATGACCTACCTAAATTTAGTCACAACAACTGATTGATAGTCAGCAGATTTAAAAACATAAAGGGAAAGTGCCTCGGAAACCCTGCTGAGAAAAATATGTGCCTTTTTAAAATGCTCTCTGGATCCATGCGAATAAACGTTTTACTTGATAAATTATCGAGTTATTCATCTTATTTAGTTCGTATTACTTAATTTCGTTATTCAACCCGTTATGGACTTAATTGCTGCATAATTCTGTGTGATTGGTGATTATTATTCTACATAATTTGGTATACCAACTACAAAACTAAATGCACAATGGATTATAATTAGAATCTGTCAGTGCCATTATGCACTGCAGTTTTCACGAAAATCTTCATGAGCCATCCCATAGCGAAGACATATTGATCAGAAGACCGATATATGTACATATGTAACAACAGTAGACAATCTATCTCTGCAACTACCGACCAGTGACTGGGGAGCCTTTTAAATATTAAATATCGAGCTCGTTAAATTTTTTTCTTTCTTTCACGACATGAGTGAAGGTTGTTGCGTGTTGTTGTGAAATTGGTTGGTTCATATGTTATTTATAATAGAATAAATTGAAATTTGGATAAGACTTCCTTCCTCCTTGTTCACATTTAGAAAAATACACACTCATTCAAGCTTTTGATATCAAAATTGCATCCATTTATATTTGAAGAACTCTATTTTGCACTGATCTACTAAATCCGTCAAACATTTCAATAGAAAGGAGTCGTTGAGTGATAGCGATATGACATTAATACCTCTACTTGTTGTACGTATAATGGCTCAAGTGACTCATCGGCTTGGTCCAAGGGTCGTGTCATTCTTCGTTCTATTCAAATGTTGCAAAACAATGGGAAACAAAGAAACAGTTGCAAACAGATTCATGCGAATTTTGACAAGTACAAGAAAATGCGATCAAAAGTCAAGGCAATGACAATCATAAAACATCGCTTACACCAACACCGGCTTTATTTATTATTGGATCTAATGTTTAGTAGATTCACACGTGTATGTATGCAGAACAAATATTCCCAAGGGCTATTTCTACTATACAGATCCAAAGATCCCATCGGCTTCATTATCATCATCGTCAGATTCTTGTATCATTGACATTGGGGTGGAATGTTGTGGATATTTCTTTGAGCGAAAATGAACATACTGGTTTTCATCCTTTCTGATAATTCTTCACTTAAGACAAGGATAAGGTTAGGGTGTGGTGAATCTAAAAATCGAATTAAATCACCATAACATATCAGCAACATCTCATCATCATCATGGCAAACAGGCTGACTAAACATCATCCAATTTTTTTCATTGTATAAATGCATGAAGTTGATTATTTTATGGCACCTAAAGAGAAAAATAATATATTTCCAGAAATTTGGAGTAACATTGACATTCAGTTCATTGTTAATTCTTGGTATTGTGTCTGTGTTCATACCCAAAAATAGATTGGTGGCGAAAGTGTGACACATAATTCTTACCATAAATAAAATAACTGTATGTGTATCGCCTTGATAATAACGCAATCCAGTTTTCAAGCTTTGCGATCTCATAACGCGCACCTCACGTTTAACGATCTGTCTCAGTATCGAAGGTTATATAATAACTTTGGATGATAAAAGTGCAAGTTATTAGAGTCAGCGAATAATCGGCTTATGAACTTTGTCCAACCCATAATCCTAATTATTCACAATCAAGTACATACTCAAAACGTAAAAGCTGTAATTAACAGCTCAACAAAGTAGTAGTCGTAAATATTTAGATGTGATTTGTTGATTAAAAGGGTATTACTTTCTCTCCTTGTTTTGAGAATTGGCCAAATAAATATTCAACCCATACAACTATATGTTATGAATGTATACACATATGTACATGCATACTTACGTACGTACACATTATGCGTGAAAGGTATCGATACACACATCAGTCCCCATAAACTATAGGACCTACGTTTCTTAAGTCACGAGTGGAGAAGTCGTAATATTGTGACAACTTTATAGCTGATTGCGATGTTTAATAGGCTGTAAACTGATAACAAATTGAATGAAATACGAGATTGACGTGGATGCAAAAGTTGAACGTGATCTTGGTTGTTGATTGTATCAGTGCTCTAATTAATATGCACATATTTACCACATAATGAATCTCTGAGTGAGGAATGTACAGCGTATGCATTCCATTTTAAAAAGGATAAAGCTCCAATCGACAGATTGTATCTCTAATTCCAAGAAATGAATCAACAAATTTTTCCTTCTATATATGTCTTGATTCAGTATTTAAATACTTTACAAAATTCCGACCCCGAGCTGCAAAAATTAATTTGTGTTTAGCAATTAAGTTTTATGTGTACAAACTCTGGAGAATTTGGGGTTCAATTTCATGTGCATATGTACATATATGTCCAATTCTACTTGTTAGTCTCCATTAAACATAGATTACAAGCAGTTAAACATATATAACGTTGACACATGCAATTAGTACATATATACATATTTATATTGATTACATATGTGTTACATTAGCGTACTTATGTAATTGCTCCGGATATTTAGGCGTTTCTTTTATTTCTATTAAATTACTTTGTCTCTGTTATCATTTGCCAAATGCATTAATGGATTATTGATAAACTAGAAAATTACCTTTGTATGTCCATTTACGAATTGCATAATCTGCAGGTAGTCCAATTTGTTCTCATTTTTAACCAAATCCTTTTTAAAGATTAGCAGATTGAGCAAAGTGATCAATGAGGAAATTACATAAAGTAAAATTCTATGTTTGTGAGCTTAGCATACAAACAAACGTCAACCGTGTAAAAGAAAAGTGCTTTTATTAAGTAGCGCAAGCTACTTTATGCAATGACTTAGTTAGTCTGTCCGTCCGTCTGTCTGTCAACACGATAACAGGAGAACGGATCGAGATAATCGAAATCGGTTTTCGCCATCATACGTATGACCCTAGGGGGAGGATCCCCTAAGCTTTTGGGGGCAGCCGGACCACACCCCCTTGCGCCCAGTGGGTGTGGTTGGGGCAAAATGAGATTTTTACAAAAATTGAATCTATGGATGAAGGGCAGTTAAATTAAGTGTTCCCAAGTTGTGCCACACCCCCTCGCGCCCAGTGGGTGTGGTTGGGGCGCAGTGGGTGTGGTTGGGGCAAAATGAGATTTTGAGAAAAATTGAATCTATGGATGAAGTAGAGTTGAATTATGTGTGTCCGAGTTGTGCCACACCCCCCGGGCGTCAGGGGGTGTGGTTGGGGCAAAATGAGATTTTTAGAAAAATTGAATCTAACATGTATGACAAGTAAAACAGTAAGATTGATTAATTAATTAATTAATTAAGATTGACTAATTAAGATTGATAAAACAGTAAGACATGTAAGATGCATGATTTTTCAGAGTGGCTACATATAAATGAGGAAGTTTAAATTATTTGCTAATTTTGAAATAATTCAGATTCCGCAATCTATATGTTGTATCGCATTCTCAGCATTATTGCGCTACTTGTGTACCCTGCGTTGCCGCAGTTTATTGAAAGCTTAAAGCGCTATAAAATTCAATTTATAAGTCCACTTGGAACTACGTAATCATAAGATAGCCAGATTTCATTTTCTCTGAGCACAGAAATCCAAATGCTTAGATGTATATCGTGCATATGGGTACGTATATATATATTTATATACATGCATAGCAGTAATGTAGATAGATAATAGCAATAGTGCATTGTACCATGTTTTTAATTACTACATCAATAGTCAGGTCAATATTAAAACCTACCTACAGTGTGCAAAACTGTTTATTTTATTCTTCTTTAGTCAGAGAGGTTGTAGGGTATTACAACAATTTGTTCCAAATCAACCCAGCCCTAAGTAATTATGCACACTAGAACATGATCTCACTAATTTGAAAAATTCATGCATCCGCCATAGTTAATGATAACTTTTTAACCGGTGGAAAATTTGTCCCCCATTTAGAAAAACCAGTCAGGGTGAGAAATTCCTTGCTTTACCGTTCTTCTCCTTCTTCGAACTTACGTAACTCCTAATTTGACATATACCACATTTTCTCATTTCAAGTTCAAGTGGAATTTGACACGAGGTTTACAGGACAGAAGGACGGACAGGGATCACGGGTAATCAGGTCTGACTCGGTATGACATAAATATTATAAAAATGATGCACGTATGTATCTCATTGCTGTAATAAAATTTAATTTAAGGACTTTTTTCCTAATAAATACTTACGGAAGATGTGCAATCCAACAGAACGAAATTAAATATTTGAGCTATCCTTATTTCGATAAAAAATTATAATATGTGTCACTTGTATTACTCGTGTCAACACAATCTGAAGCAAAATACATACATATGCATTGCGTCAAAAATTTTATCAATACAATATCCAAATATGGAAAGACATTACACTTTTTATTTTTTTATTGATCGTGATGTGTCACCTCTAATCTTGCTTGGCAATAGACTCTTGACAATGAAATTATAATTTAGTGGTTCAGCATCAAACTCGTTCTGCTGTTTGAAAATGTGGTAGAATATTTACATATTGATTTTTAATTCAAAAAATTGAGAATCTAGTTATAAATTATTATTTGTTCATATTTGATTTTGTTTTATTTGGATACATAAATTTGTACTCTCTGTGAGCAGACCAATTCTAAGATTTTTTATGGACTCGGAAAAGTCCAGCTCAGGAGAAGGTTCAATAATTGACCAATTAAGATATTTGCTGATTGTTCTATCTAATTATCTTTGACAGATGCGCTTGATTGCTTTTAATCAACAACTCCGACTGCTGCGCAAAGTGTAGTAGCACAAGTTAATTTTGACGAGATGAGGGTCCTGGTGTTTGCATTGTTTTGTTAAGGGGATGGATGGGATAGACAATGGACATGTTCGTCATGCTGCGATTATGCAAAAGAAATAAAATCGTGACTTTATTATAAAATCTCAGCATGTCTTCTCTGAGATCTGGAAAATAAATTCGAATTGTGATGTCAACCATGTACAAACTGCTCTCCATTAAATTAAAGGGCGTTTATCTACATGCGTATGCATATGTACAAATGTATGTACATATACGTTCGCTGAGGTAAATATGTGCAGAGACACATGGCCGCCTGAATCTGTCTTAAGTAAGGTGTATTTATTGATAGTTTAACGTGGGGTATGCATGTGAAGACCTTCATGCAATATTTTGTAATTTGCAGACGACGCCAGCCAAGCACTTGTAATGGCGAATATTATGAACATACTGTTTAATTTATTGTGTTGCCTGACTCTGTTTTTGCCTTGAGTGGTAGTCATATTGGCTTTATGGTCCAATTACTTTGCCAGACAAACAGATTTACGAGTCAACATAAACTAAATATGTACGGTTTGCAAATTTTGGTGATGTGAATATATAGTTCAGCTGCATAAACGAATTGATAGACGATTAAGATGAAAAATGTAAGCTCCATCATTTATGTAGTTGTCTCTCTATAAAAACGCATTAGTTTCATGTAAAAGTGTGAAGCTGAATTTATTGTATAATTTGCAGATGTCATTTTATCATAGATTATTTTTGACGAATTTCGTTGTCAAGAATGTGGAGTGTACAACTGCATATAAATTTTATGTACTATAAGCGTTCTAGGGTCCCGAAATCAACATTCTAGATATTAGTACATGTCAACTTGATGATAGGTATCAAATCATGAAGGTTGACCAGAATTGAGTCAAAGATAAAATAAAAGGGTCAAAATAACAGAGCATTTCTGTGGTCTTTTGTATAGTTGTTCCAAATTTATGTAACATCATCAGACCAATCAGATCACAAAACATAATTAATTTCATACGTGTATGTTGGCTCCACACCTTGCTGATGGTGATTAAAAACTACACAAGCTGTTTAATTTAATGCATGAGGAGGAGACTTTCATAAAGCAGATGTATGTACACCAATGATGTTGGACTTAAGAGGATAAATTGTTCCATTGCAGATAATTGATGACGATTGTCAATTTAAGGTGGTTAAATTTAATTTTGATGAGCTATGGTCTATTTATTAAAGTTCAGTGGGTTTATAAATTTAAATTAAGTTGTAAGACAATAACATCTTTTAATGCTGAAATTTTAAATGATAGTTGACATTTCACAAAATTTCCAGGAAAAAGAACGTTTCTTATTTATTATTGAAGTTTGTAAAATTAACTTAAAATATAATTTATTATTTATTATTATTTATTATTATTATATTTATTTATTTTAAATATAATAATAATTTCAAGATCATAATTTTGAAATTTATGAATGGAATTCGATTATATCAACATTCTATAATTGCATGCATGCAATTATGCACACTTTTTTACTATCTAACTAGGAATTGATGAGCTATAGGACCCTTATCGTTATTGGAAGGTTCAGATTAATTTATTAAACTGTTGACGCTAATAAACTGGTTCAGCAGTATGTGTACAAATATAAAATATATGTTTTGTCGTATTTGGGTCAATAGCACCAAAATAAACACGCAGGGATGACATTGACTTTAGTATCATGCATCATAATGGTAATGCATCCATCAGACAGCTTAAATAATCTACTGATTAGAATCTTCATAGCGTACGATGAATTACTTACATTGTGTGGTCTAAATTAATTGGATGCCAAGTGAAGATAAAAAGACAAATAAATTGGCATTACTTTTGTTTCAAGTTTGTGCGTATTTATTTATACTTTATTGTGTGTGCAGAGATTGCTAGAAAACTCAAGTCTCACCTAGCTTCTCAAAGTAATTGGACACTCTGGAAGACATTATTTTCAATAATTACTGAACATTAATGTTGTCTTTCATATAAAATTATTATTGAAGGTGTAATTGCAGTTTTAGTTGCAACGTGACCAGAATAAAATTATTGTTTTCCAGGTACACTGAAACTTATCAAAGTAATCTAAAATATTAAATATTAAATTGGCTGTGTCAGAGTTTGGTTGACTAGTTGACAGTATAATTGCATCAGAGAACTACACATTTTCATTAATTGCACTTTTTCTACACTGAAGGAATAATTTGAATTATTGAAATCTGATAGGCAATAAACTAATATTGAAAGATGAATTTATGGATTGCAAGTGATATGACACTTTAAAGCCATGAATAATTCCTTCGTGCCCTCTGGGAACATTTGAGGTTCCACACCACGCAAACATTAATCACATAGTTATCACTTATTCAAGAGCCGACGATGACCATTTTTGTCAACCAAAATGTTGGGCTGCGTTTATAATAATTTTGTACATTTCTAATAACTAAGAGACAAGTCGTTATATTTTAGCGCAAGATCTAGCTGCAGGCATAGCACGCCAAACTGAAAAATAATGTACAATCAAGTTCTGTTAGATGCGATTAGGACTAAAAAAAAGTTAATAAACAGATTTGTATTGAACATCTCTCCTTCCTTTGTAATTATTTGTGAAGCATAACAGAAAATAAAGTCATTCAATATTCTGCAATTGGTTGTATTGACCTTACAAAAATTGATTCAGTTCCGACTAAATTGGGATATAATCGCAGCATAATTGGCGTATATGGTTAGAAGAATGCGAGCTGATCATGTAACTGAAGGAATATCTGAACATCTATATGTATGATTTATGGATTTAACTCAAAGACAATATTTTAAAGGCGTGTGTCTACAATAATAAGAACTAGAACTGCATATGCATTACATACACAGATCCATCGTTTATTGGTATCCTGATTTGATCAATTAGAATTCTATTGTCTTAAATGCCTGGTCCACAACCTGTTTTACCATTTTTTTAACACCGTCATCATAACTGAGTGGTACACAAAATCTTTTTGACCTCCAGAGAGTGGTCGAAGTGCCAGCGTACGCAAAATCGCCGCCTTTTGATATTGCCTTCTGAACATTCGAATCTGAAAGCATGATGTTTAGAATTTGAGATCATATCGGTCTTGTTATGTTCAAATCAATCTTGTGATGATGAAATGTTGGAAATAATGGTTCTAAAAATGTACCAGTATGTTTATCTTTCTTGTGGATAGCATTTGCGTAGGCAATGTTGTCAAATGAAGTGACTAATTGGTACAGAGAAGATCTTTTGGAAATTAAATCCGTACTCGACTTTTTACCTTCGTCTACTGCAGAAAAATAAAATTTTTTTATTTTGATTCTTATGTAACAAAGAATACGTAGTTACCTCGCTGATGTTCTCTTTCTAGTTCAATTGGTACAACTGACCCTGCATACATTTCCGACCCGTGGTTGTCCGTGTACTTTTGCGCGTCACTCTGAGCTGACACAAACCTTTTCTTTCTGAAGAATGATGCGTCTCTAAATAGATTTTCTACTGTTTTCTCCATTGCAGCCGTAACTTTCTTTTGAATTGTGGCTTTGTCGGGTTTCGTGCAATTTGTTAGAGTTGCCCCTGCAAATTTAGGCAATTTGATGCCTGCATTTTATAAATGTTACACTTTCCGAATTTATTAACTTATTTCTTACCTTCAGTTTGGGGTATCTCAGAAGCCTGAGTTAAAGCTATGTGTCCCACCACCAGAAAAATGTAAATTTTCATGTCGACGAATACGCAAGTATCTCGATTATGCTTATTTTAAGTAAAATAATGAAAACACCGCCCCAATATATTTAGTATGAATATGACAACTAAATGAAAGGGTATCGAAAAGTAAACTAGTTGCATTGAGGATTATACACAACATATTTATATTAAGCAAGTAATTATGTGTGTTAATTATAAGGTGAAGCTCTATAAATTAGCTGGACATGCTATTTCCAAATTAGTTAAATCAGGGGCAAAGATGCGGAAGAATTGTAGATTAGATTTTATTACTGATCACGAAGTAATTACATACAATGAGTCAATTAGTTGGGTATTGGATGTTAGTGGCCATGCTCAATTGATAAATGGGAATTAGCTGGTTGTATGAGGGGGTTTGACTCAGTATTTTAGGCTTACTTCTCTTGGGGTGGGGGCAAAACTGGGGCAGAACTACCACCAGAAGTCGCCTTTGCTACCGCGAAGTCACCCCCTTCCGCAGATACATTTTGCAAGTTCAAAGCCGCACCCTTGGTCTCCGCTGCCGACGCAATTGCTTTGAATCCATGGGCTTGTACGCCTTGCACATTTTTGCTCACGTCCCTCTTGAGGTCACGGCCCGCTGTTTAAGAAATATATGTATTTACTTTAGTTATCCTCAATACTGACCATTTTGTTTTGCAACATGCAGTTTTATTTATGAGCTTACAATTTTCAGATGTAGCAACTGCAAGTTTCTCTCCAAGTGCATCTGATTTTTGGAACGACAACCCTGTAAGAATATAAACGAGTCATTAAGCTAGAAATAATATTAATAATCATACTAATTACCATCAACAGGTGAATTATTCTGTGTCTTTGCAATGGCTACTTTTGCAGATGCCGCACTCTGTTGAATGTTAGTATTACGTTTCCTGTTGGAGGCAGTTGCAACTGCCGTTCCGTGGTCCATGTTAGCTTTGGCGTTTACTTTTTGAACGCTAACTGAACCTATTTAAGAAGTTTCTCAGTCAGACACAGCTACTAGAAATATATGGAAACACATACCTCCTTTGTGAGTTGGGTGGGGATTGGGGAGTGATGGTGCAACGTGTGTTGGTTCTGGAACGGGGACTGGACTTGACACACCCTCAGGAGCAGGGGGGTTAACGGGATAAACTGAATATATTGGACCCGTGGGAGGAGGAGAAGAACCTTCTGGATGGTCAACCACTACAGGGCCGGAAGGATGGTCTGGCTCAACCACGGCAGGACCATTGACAGGGCCACCAAAAGGAACGCCAGCAGGAGCTTCATCCCCAGTTCTTGCGGCCAAGGACGCACTCTTTATTTTTCCATCAGGACCTACTTCCGACGAAGATTTCGTAATCGCAGCGCGAGCACTTCGGGCAGCTAAAAATTTGCAAATACGTTTAAATTATATTAAAACTCGAGACCCTGCAATTTGGATTGATTAATCTAAGAAAGTACACGCGGAAGCAGAAGCACTGGAGAATTCCGGTGTCTTGAAGTTTACAGTGGACGCAACAGCATGTTTTCCTATTTGGTTGGTGTCAATGTTAGGCCATTATAAGCTCCCATACTAGACCATGAACTGCTGAATGCAGATAATATAAATTGTATATAATACCTGAGTCGAGGGGAAGTGTGTAGACTAAGGCGAGATGCCCCAAAAAGATCAAAGTGGCGACTTTCATTTTTCAAAGAATTATAATCCGTACTTACTGAACTCTGAATAGCTTAGACATGGCTTCATCTCTCCAACTTTGCCCTTTTATATGGAGGTGCTCACCGGCCAAGAGAATTTTATGTTGGTCAAGACTGCAAAAGCCAATTCCGATAAATGTCATTATGATCAACCAGTGATGCAATTTAAAGTTAATTAAGGTAATGAGATAATTTCGGGCTAGCAAATTGAACCCAGTATACACCTACTTTGTGATAATCGATGGACGGTATAAGCAAGACGGCGACTTAGTTAAGAAATTCACAGAATAGACTTATTTAATCTTTCACAACATGCTCATCTACTTAATTATGATATACATGAGTCAATAACGCACTAGAAAAATCAAGTTCAGCACGAAGTGGGAATCTATCATCAAAATGCAGTTAAGCAGTCAAATGAAATTAAATACCGATTTAGACAATTGTGTGCAATTTTTATTTAGTAGATTGAAAAACTATTTTTTGTTATAAATACATATGTATACGTCCCTCATTTTGAACACTTCTTCATGCACAACTATTTAAAAACTTCCGTCAATAATACTACTACACATGCAGGAATCACAATACTGTACGGATTTGTATATGTTAATCATTTTTTGGGTTCTCGTAGTTTAGTTCTTTCGATTTCCACCAAACTAAAGGAGGTTCTGATATCTTTGGCGACAATGTCTGGAACTTCTAAGGCATTAAAATGACCTCCTGTGGGCGCTTTCGAATATCTCAAATGTGGATATTTTTCGAGTAAAGGAAATTTTGGCATGGCAAGCAATTCGTTAGGAAAATTCAAACAACTGGCTGGAACATGGACGGGAACCCTAAAAATTTATTTTCATATAGTTAAAGTTAAACTCAAGTTTAAAAATAAAACTATTCCAGTCGCATATTTTAAAAAAATTGAGTGTACCTGTCAAGTGCAAATTGATTGGAGGTCAGCACATTAAATATTTCTCTGTAAATTCGCATCCCAGTCGTAATTGACTGTCCAACCCTGGGGTTAAAAAGTTATTTTTAAAACCAATGTATAAAAATGCATAGACCTGCGGATAAGAGTTCTCATATTATGTTTGAAGAATGATATTATTTGAGAAACCCATTTTCATAGAATTTATACGTCACAGTATTCGGAATTTACCAATGGACCATCAAGCTATCCAAAAGCTCATCCAAATTGAAACGCGAGCTTATTCCTCCATCATCCAAATGCAGCCAGGTAGCGTTTGTCCAAAATGAGTATTTCTCAAGAAAGTATGCAGCATATCCGCTGGGAGAGTGAGATAGTGCCACCCCTGAAATAATTACCGCAAATATTTATGTTGGGGACCTCACTTACGATGAATTCAAACTTTACCAATTGTGTCTGGCTTTGTAGCTTGGAGATGAAAGTAGCCCGTCTCCCGAAGTAAGTGAAACAAGAATCTGTAGAGTGGAACATGCTGAATAATTTCATCGTCATCCATGAAAAGCTGTGGCACAACGGAAGCAAGGCCAAACTTTAGAATTGATCTCGGGTGGTTTGAGAAGCACATGGTCATGTGGATACCCAGCACACTTTTAAAATTCAAGGGAAACTGCCGTCAGGAAAATAATTAATTACTTATTCGCATTAAGAAATTGCATACTTGTCTCTGTATAATGTCCCCATGTTAGAAGCAATTAACGATCCCCAATCTCCTCCTTGGACATAAAACTTTTCATGGCCCAACCGCTTCATTAGGGTGAGAAAAATTGGTGACATCTCAGCTGGCCCAAGACCTGGCTTTCTTGAAGCTTCAGAAAAACCTGACCCAGGAAGGGACACTATAACGAGCTAAAAATTGATAAGAAATACATGCATACAACTTTATCTCAAGAGTAAATAGGGAGTCAATAGGATTGTCGTTGGTTTTCATTCCAGGGTGAATACCTCAAAGTTGTACTCAGAGTCCTTGGCATCAACAAGTAGAGGAATCAGCTTCTGATATTCCGTAAATGACGCTGGCCACCCCTAAACGCGAGTTCAACAATGGTATTGAATTTGTAAAGTTTTCATCTAAATGTGAAGCATGGAAAATGCAGGCGTATCCTGTAGTCAGGCTTACATGGATGAGCAATAACGGCAGATTTCCTCGCTTTCCCTTCGTACTCGGTTTCACATGCTGGAAATGAATATCAATTCCCGATATTTTCGTTTTGAAGCTTGGATATTTATTCAGCATTTTCTCTCTCTGTTTCCAGTCGTATTGATTCAACCAATGCGTCACGACTTTCTTGAGAAACTTCTTATTCATCCCATATTCGAATCCAACACCTTCCAAATTGTCTGCGACCCTTTCATCTTGACTCGCAACTTCCAGAGAAAGTCTTGTTCGCAGATCAGTCAAAACTTTCTCTGAGATATTGATTTGGAACGGACGGATTGATTTGTCTTCTGACGTGGGAGCCGATCCAGAACCCCAGTATTGATCTGAAATTTGTGGAAGCTCACCATCTCGTAAAACAAAATACCCTGCGAGGCCTAGAGAGATGGCTATGATGAGGATGAAAGTATTAAAAAATGAGCTCATGGTAATTGGAATTCTAGTTTATTTCTACTTTTCAGTCTTATCCACTAAACTCTGTAAACAATACCAGCCTTGCACCAAAAACTCTGGCTATTGAACGCACCACACTTTCATGCACTCCAACAGTTCACATCAGCGAAAGTCTCACAATTACTTGTATGATAATTAGACAGCTAGGACTTTTCTTTAACAGAAAGCGTCAGAAATGTTTTTTAACATATGGAATTCAAGGATTTCAAGATGTCTAAAGTATAAATCAGCGCAAGACTGTATCACCGGCTTTAAGTGATTCTGTTACTGCAAGTAGCGGACTTTAACCTTTACAATATAGTAAGTAGACCGGTTTTTTTCCATGAATGTGCCGGAGGACGCTTCACCTATGGAATTAGATGCACTACACTATTCGCTACACTATACTGGATTCGCCCATCTGAAAACTCAACAATTGCATTTTGCTAGTCTCTTACCGAACTTTTGTACGGAAGATATACACCGAACCAAAGGGCAGTAACTTATGCGATTATTAAAGAATACACTACACACATCAAGCACATACATATACGAGTATGTATTTGCATATATTTTTTAAAAATGAATTTACATCACTTATTTGATCAAGTTCTGACAAATTCATGATGAGATACATAAATGTGTGTTACAAGTTTTGAATTGAACTCACAAGCTTCAATTTACAAATTTTTCAATTGTATAGCAAGTATAGAATTTCACAAAATCCTTACAAATTGAAATTATAGGATGATGATGCAAATTACATAATTGCAGAAAAAAACTGTTTTTGCTATATTTTTTTTTACAAAACATGGCAAAACGTTCTATACAAATGAACAACTGTGGATGGCTGGAATGCATCCGGAGAAGATAATAAAATATTCATTTGATTTCTGTAAGCTATCATTCAACATCAAGCAGCTTTATTCCGTACGTGAATACACTCTTTCTCACACAAATCAATCCAAGAGTATTTTTGCACAAGATGAAGATTCAAATAAAGGAGAGCTTTTTGGGATTCTTTCCTCCTCCTCCAAACATCGCCATCAATTCCTTTCACCTAATTCTAATCACGTTGGTCGTCGGTGTTGTTGGAGATCCATCCTGGTTCTGGCAGCAGGGCAGTTTATTTGGTCGTATTTCAGACTAGTTATGTAGGAGTACGTACAACGTATGAAATAGAGGGCCCTACATATTATTGGTAGCTGGAAAATCCAATTAAGTCAAAAACCTAAGGAGGAGCGTAGGTCAAAGCAATCGCTGAGAAATAAAAGTGCAGAGAAAGCAAGGGAAAGGATGGGGCGAAAGCTCGTTTATGGCTCGACGGAGCCATAAATGATTAATGTGTTGGGAATGGAATATGCAGCAGCAGCAAAGACGAACTACTACATCGTAGTCGAGACAAATATTTGGTTGGGACGACGACTGAGAATCTGAGAATCTATCAGACCCAAGAGGGCTCTATTCTTCTCCTCCAAAACCCTTGACTTTTATCACGCTTCGTAAAACTAAACTCGAGATCCTGTAAATAGTCATATCATATTTTATATAAAACTCTTCCATTTCACAACTTTTTAAATTGTATTTCAAAATACAAATTCAGAATAGATCGACACAACTTTGTGCTATCCGGTGGAAAAGATGAAAGCCAAATCCGAAGCTGTTTAGTGGATGATGTTGAGTTGTTGATAATGCACATGCTTTAAATGTACATATGGTTTATCAAAGAAACTAAAATGTGTAACAGAGTCCTTGCAACCTGTCCTAACTTTTTCATTTACCTTCAACAGATTCGGATTAAATCTACAATGCGGTCGCTACGATTGCTATAACAATTCTGTTTATATAGTTTGTAGTTGAGCTTCTCTTTGTTTGCACAATCCAACTTGCCATCCAAACAGAACTGATGAAACAATAGATAATTCATGAAACGTCATCTATGTTGTTCGTGCTCTCCAGTTCTTTGTACTCGTAGCTTTCACCTGCAAATAAACCCAGAAGTCGAGTGGTTGTTGAGATATTTTACTACGTATGCTCATATAAATCTCAAAGCATACACATAAAAACCACTTTCATAATGCCTAATGCAAACAAATATGAAGTTGAATGATTGAGAAGACGGTGTGTTCTATTTATTGGTTCTACACAAATCAGATCAATTATTTTATTATACTGTTACAAGCATAGACCAAATACCAATAATATAAACTTCTAATGGTTAGACACCTAGTAAAGCCTATAATTCAAACTGTACAATTCCAAATTATTTTAACATCTACTTAATATCATACAGCATACGTACATCTAATTAAAGGTATGTAGTTAATACGTAGGATTGGCATTAGCGTCGGCAATAATCATAAAATGGAATTTTTTCTTTCATTTGTTATCAATATTCAGAACATATGTATGAATGTAGGTACACGACTGATACATAATCAAACCAAACCACTGGACACAACGTAAAATCGTAGAAGAGGAATTTTTAATTTTCTATGCACTTAGGATTCTTAGACAAGGTTCACTTTATTGGTGACATGCAAACGTGATGGAATCATAAACCACAACAAACTATAAATTACAAGGAGCTGGGGAAATTATCGTAATTATTGAATACAAGATATATAATAATCACCTAAAAGTGGACACCTAATTTTAATATTTAGCAGTACGGAGGGAACTTTAATCTATATTAATTGTGTGGTAAGATATATTTATAGTTTAAAGGAAAATAGCATCTGAATTTGTTGATAGTGAAGGACACAAAATTGGCCAGGAGTATGGACTATATTATTAGTACATATTCATAAAGTTACCATAGATTTTGATCTAAAGCTATTTGTTGTTGGATTTTTATTGTACTGAAGTACGTTGACTTACTATTGCCCAACCAAAACAAATTAGCAGATATAAAGGTTCAATCTATATGTGATAGGTTAGGAATAACAACAACGAAGAGCTTCCAAATGTCTTTACATGGAAATGTCTATAATCATTTATATTTGAATTTTATCATTGGGCAACATCATTCCGAACAATTCAATTTCGTGTTTAAAAAATACACACAATGAAAAGTACAACCACAGTACACTTTTTATTATTTATGTGATTGGCTTTCTACTCGTTCGTGAGGCATACAATTTATCTAGAATTCTATAAAGCAGTCGACAAATTAAAGCAAAAATTATGAATACTAAAGTAAATATTCGGATATGATAATATACAATAATCGTTTGGCTGGACAATAGCATTAATTTAGTAACACAGAAATGAGCAGGTATGCATAAACAGGGAGGCGTCTCTTCTATTCGTTATCCATATTATAGTTTGTTGGGTTGGTTTCTTGCACGACGATCGAGTTGTTATCTGTTAGCGGCTAATTGACTTATCCACAAAAAGTAAACCGAACCAAAATGCAGGTTGAGTAACCAGATTAGGAGTGTGGTTGTTGCTTATCTTCAACACCAGTGGGTGCGGCCGAAGTTCCGTTTGGTTTCGATGCATCTCCTCCTTCTTGATTTGCAGTTGCTTCGTGCCAAAGAAAATAAAAATGTATTAAATTGCGATTTTTCATTCTTAATTAACAAGTCAAAATAATCGAATGTGGTCAAATAACAAAAGCAAGCGTCCCTTCCACTCGTGTCACTTCAATTGGGCTTCCTTACTTATGTTTGCACAGACCTTGACCGAAAAGTTGTCACTTGAGTCAGACATTATCAAAAGTGGTTCACTGGTCAACGTTATTTTTTTAAATTGAGACTTTTTTCAATCAGAGTTAAAGTTTCGATAGAAGGAACCTCCTGGGTGCATTTCAGAACAAGTGATAGCTGGATTTTAGACTTGTGCAATTAGTACATGAGTTGGGACGTTATAAAAGAGTTTCTGGCCACTACATCTGTTTAGTTTAACTGATTGCTGCATCAGATTGTGGATAGGTTTTTAGTATTATCTGTATTACTTTGTATATCTGATTTTGTTGCAGTATTACGTAATAATTTTTTGAATATTTGTGAATTGTTTTGTCTGTTGCTTTATAGTGTTCACGTGGTACGTACTCACCTTCAACCTTACATTAGAATTAAAGTTATATGAAATTGCTTACCTTCGCGAAGCGCCTCGTCGAAATTTTGCACACTTCCGCTTCGGGACCCACCCATTTTCGTCTGCAATTCACCCTAATAAAACTTAGTGAGCCGGCTCAAAATATTGTTATCAAAGGATTACACTTGTAGGAAAGATATTCGGCAAGTTTTATATATTTTTTACAAAAGTCACTTTTAGTGAGGTCTTCTGCTGTCGACTTTCAATGAAGATTTGTCACATTTTTATGTATGTCAAATGTGTTTATAATCATGAAAAATGATACCGTCTATATAATTTAGGTTAAGTAACTTTCGAAGTTAAATGCAAAAGTTGAATTTGTTTGGAGCCCAACAATACAGTCTCCTGAAGTCAACAGTTCTTACAAAGAAATCAAATAAAGAACGAAACACGATTGGTTGGGCTGTCCAAAAGTCGTTCCAAAACACACAACAAACAACCGTGACTATATAATGATTCTTTTTCCTAATTTCGATTAAATTCTTTGCTTGTTAAACAAAAAAGGGGAACTTTCTTCGTTCAGTTCGTTTTTTAGACACGATACTCTCTTTAAATCGTTTCGGACATTGTTAATTTTAATTTATCGAGAAGTGGGTCACATAATCGGTTTGTAAACTACAAACTTTGGCCTTGCAGTCAGTTCTTTGTGTGCTTTTACTTGTTAAAGGACGTTCACTTCATGAAAACTTGTGATCTACCGGTTGAAAGATTTCACAATCTCAAATTTATACAAACAAAAGTTACAAAAAACTCAACCAAGTCCATATAAAAATAATGGCACCTAGGCCAACGCAACTCCAAAAGCGCAACCTCGTCCATGACCGTGTTATTGTTCGCTTGGGAAGATGGGCAACTCATGAAAATCCAATTACTCATTCCATTACTCTGACACGTGGTGGAATTCTCACGGTATGGCGAAACTTTCACTTCAAAAAACTCTTCTTACTTTCCACTCCTCCTTTACTCGTATGTATTGCACTTCTGCTTTTCTTTGTATTATTATTTATACGCTCGAGCAAACATCATCGTGAGAGGCGAATTCTAAAAAATATCTCTCACTTTCCTCTGATTTTAACCAATCCTTACTACATACATCGTCAATCTTCATACACATCAAAGCTAATAGATAAAAAGCCTACATTATCAAAACAAATCACCTCTAACCTCTTCAGTCTCGTAATATGCTTTTTGTACAGAAAATTAAATTTCATCCGTGGTTGAGTCCTGATACAATTCCCAGTTTTTTGTCCAACCCTACAAGATTGTTTATGCAAAAATACTGCCTGCTGAAACTAATCCTAAATGTGCATGCCACAGAAGCAGAGCAAACAATCATAGTTTTACTGATGAATCGTTTAACTCTACTGATGAGCAAGTAAATCCAATAATCCGCCACGCCCATTTGTAACGTATCGTATGTATACCAATGAACTTATCGACCAGCAGAACGTTTTCAAATGAGCATATATGTAAAGCGGAGTCAGGCAAGAGTGCAAGTTGATCAACTTTTGTGAAATTGATGACTCATCTTTTCTTCCCAGCTCCGTCATTCTGCAACTCCCACACACAGGCCGTCATTCATTCTTTTCTGCTCAATGCTCATCCTTCTCACTCCATTCACTTTCTACGGGTGGTCCCCAATCTTGTGATTTGAACGTACCCCTCCTCTCTGGAAAATAAGGTGCTTTGGTGAATCGTCCCTCGCTTTCTCCGACGAACAAAAAAAACTCGATATTCTTTACTGGAAGTGTATATGATATGATTATCTTTAAAGATTATGTGACAGCCAAATAGGCTTAAGAAGAAATAAGTATGCATCACAATTTCTAAAGGATTATTCATTTTAGTTTACACGTTGAGCGTTTGCCCATGTACACACATATGCTAACATATATTTTCTAAAGAAAGTCCCAACCATGAGAGACTGACTTCTTTATCCACTGCTTTTGACTATATATTCATTTTTACAAGTGGGATTTGAGTGAGTTCAAGTATTGTATTTCAAATTCCCTCCGGTGGCCCACACTCGGATAGAAATTGAATTCCCATAATACGACTTGGACTTTCTCTCTCATTTCTAATGCTATGCCGCCTCACACAATCCAGCAGTTCGGTGTTCAATCCCTTAGCTCTCTTCTATTTTACTATCAGAATTCATCACATCAACTTTATTGCCAACTGTGTTCAGTGAAGTGCTCGATGTTCTATTGTGAGGCACGATGGTTCATGTATTAATACCAACCTCTCAGCCTCTATGAGGCCTCTATGAGAGGGGGGGGGGTCAAAAATTTGCTACTCGTTTATTCATTATTCCCATTTCACGAATACAATTGGCTTTAATTAAACATTAGCAATGACAGACTATTATATTTTAACTCTTTCAATTTAGAAATAAATAAAAATAAAAAAAAACCTGGGCAATGGGACAGCACTTCGCTTTTTGGGGGTTTACTTGTCACCGACCATTCATGATTTCATCTCACAAACGACCTCGCTGCTTTCCATACTTGTCGAGAGACCCTTCAACGATGAATACTTCTCTCGTGGCATTTGTATACGTCTTTTTTATATGCGTGCACATATAGCAGAATATGTCACAAATTTAAAATATATTATTCGTAAGCATGAAAGTCGACATCAGAAAAACTCACTATTTACTTGTTGTGACCCTGAAGACAAAACACGGGGATAGAATATAATTTTTCAATGAATACCTTTACAGAGGTCACAGCAGAGGAGACCCGTTCTTCCATCGATCTGAACGACTCTGTATTTTTGAGGGCCCCTATCTTTTGGCTCATAGCCGATCCAATGCCACCGAAAATAGACGTTGTTTTTTCAGCCGTAGCTTTGATTGCCGATTCAGTCTTTTGGTATCTAAATATATAAAACAAACAGGTGAAAAAAATTAACCCATGGTCTCATCATTACAATTATTTTTGTTAGTTAGTCACATCAGTTATATACGACCAAACTTTAAACCAAAGCATGCACATAAATAATAAGTATATCTATATTATAAGCTGGAAATGTCTTTTGGCAACGGAAGTGAAAGTTATTTTCCGTGACGGAAGTGAAAGTGGAGAAAGTTAAGTTTCTAATTGCGCGAAAATTCAAAATAAATTTAATTTAAAAAATTAAATGTCTGATGATGGTTATCTGGAAGTGGTTGTGTGGTACTTATGTGGGAGTGGTTATCTGATGGTTATCTGCGAATGGTTGTCTGCTGGTGGTTATCTGGGAGTGGTTGTCTGATGGTGGTTATCTGGGAGTGGTTGTCTGATGGTGGTTATCTGGGAGTGGTTGTCTGATGGTTATCTGGGAGTGGTTGTCTTATGGTTATCTGGGAGTGGTTGTCTGATGGTTATCTGGGAATGGTTGTCTGATGGTTATCTGGGAATGGTTGTCTGATGGTTATCTGGGAATGGTTGTCTGATGGTTATCTGGGAGTGGTTGTCTGATGGTTATCCGATGGTGGTTATTTGGGGGGGTTATCCGATGGTGATTATCTGGGGGGGGGGGGTTATCCGATGGTTGTTATCTAGGATGGTTATCATGGGTGCTTATCTAATAGTTGATATATTGGTTGTCGTGAACACTTCATGTCTCGGAAATTGGAGGACTGTATGTTTTTTATGTTTGTGTGACTTATTGTGTAACTCGATGGCGTGGTGTGACCGTAAAACTGTGTAAATAAGCGGCGGCGTTGTCACAATTAGTTACTTTGTTGGTAGTTTTATTTATTCGTCACACAATTTCTCATTTACTTACAATTTTAGAGTGTTAAGAGAGACGAGGGGCAAAATACGTGTTATTGTTCTCGTAGCTGGAGAGACACTAAAATTATTTCAACTTGAACTTCACTTAAAAAGGGCATATTCACTGCCAAAACCGAAGCCAACTTCTGGCAAAGGGAAGGTCTCCTCAACCTCACCAGCCAATGGCTGATGGCCACACAATTATTGGAGGTGGGGTTGAGGAGGTCACGAAAGGTTCAAAAAACTTTAAAGAAAAAGATTAAAAAACTGGACAAGTGTCAGGAAAAAAAAGACGACAGAATGGCACCATTCAAATTTACCAAACTGGTCTCTGTCTCAAAGGTACATACATACATCCACCAAAGTCATTTTCATATCACAGCAAATACATTCAGATTTTTTTTCATTATCATGTCAAATATCATTTAGAATAATTATGTAAATCTCGACGACATAGTCCTCCCCAATGCGAGTGTCGCATTTAATTGGTGGAGTCGAGCTGGGCGTCGGGCTTCGCGGTCTTGGCCCGCACGTCGAGGACGCAGAGTTTTGCGACTGGGCGGCGATACTGCTTCCCGTTGGACATCCGGATGTCGACGACGCGGGGAATTCCATCATTTCCGGGGAAAGTCTTCGCCACAATCCCCAGTGGCCATTGATTTCGGTCGAGGGACTCGTTGACCTCGACAACGACGTCTCCTTCTTGAATCGGAGTGGTTGGGCGGTCCCATTTGTCACGGCGGAGGAGGGTGGGGAGATATTCATGAACCCACCTCCTCCAAAATTGATTAGCCAATTCTTGAGTGGCTCGCCACTCGCGGTGGCTTGTAAGATCTGTGGGGCTGAACTCGCCAACGGGTTGCAGGTTGCTGGAGCGCCCAAGGAGGAAATGGTTCGGTGTAAGGGCTTCTGGGTCATCAGGATCAATTGATACGTGAGTTAGGGGGTGGCTATTAACCACGTGTTCAGCCTCGATGAGGAAGGTGTAGAGGGCTTCATCTTTCAGATTCTTCTGAAGAAAGAAAGAGAAGAACCTTTCCCAATGCTGTCTTGACGGAGCGGACGAGGCGTTCCCAACTTCCTCCAAAGTGTGGTGCTGAGGGGGATTCCAGTGCCAAGTGATTCCTCTCGTGGCGCACTCGTTCTCAATTTGTTGTTGATTTATTTCTTGCAGGGCCGTTTTTAACTCGTTGTCAGCACCTCGGAAATTGGTACCGTTGTCCGAGTAAAGGTGGGCTGGACATCCTCTTCTTCCTACGAATCTGCGTATCGCCAGGATACATGAGTCCGTACTCAAACTGTGGGCAAGTTCGAGATGCACGGCTCGGGTCACGAGGCATGTGAAGAGGGCGCCATATCTCTTTTCGCGACTCCTCTTCACAATGACCTCGATGGGGCCGAAGTAGTCGAGGCCAGTACGGTGGAAGGGGATGACATGACTATCCAGTCTGGCTGCTGGCAATTGTCCCATTTCCGGGGGGACGGCTTTGCTTTATAATTTTTGCAGCCTTGACATGACTGCTGGGCTTTCTTAACTGCCGGGCGGAGGTGAACGACATAAAATTGCTGGCGTATCTCGTTCAGGATCTTCTCTGTACCATGGTGTCCACACTGGCGATGGAAATGGGCAATGAGGAGGCGTGTGTACGGGTGTCGGGCGTCCAAAATGACCGGTCTTCTCATTGCTGCATCAACTTGGGCGGCGTTATCGATTCGACCACGGGCTCGCAGCACTCCATCTTTGTCCAAATAGGGGCATAATTTGGACAGTTTGCTCTTCTTGGGGAGGGGCAGTTCGGCAGATAGGCACTCCCACTCGTTCGGGAAACTTTCTTGTTGGCTTGTTCTCCACCACCACTGCTGGGCGCGGACCAACTCTTCTGGACAAAGTTGTTTGGTGTAGGGGCAGATTTCTTAATCGTGATGTCACGGACTCTGAATACGTAAGCGGTGGTATTGATAAGGCGCCTCCACAATGAGAAGCGACTGATGTCCATGAGGGGGGCAGTTTCGTGGAAATGGAGGACGCAGTGGGTCTTCATTTCTTCTTCCGGACTTTCTTTTGTTTTTGTGCAGGTGGGGACAGGCCAATTTTCTTCGGATTGTTTGAGGAAGGGGGGACCATTCACCCAACGACTTGTGGGTTGGAAATTGCATTGGGACTCGAGACGGGTCAACTCGTCGGCGACATTCTCCAAAGTAGGGACCCACCTCCATTGTTCGGGAGTGGAGAGTTCCTGGATCTCTCCCACTCGGTTGGCGACGAATTGGACATACTTCCGTCCGTCCGATCTTATCCATCCCAAGACGGTGGTGTTGTCGGACCAGAAAATTGTGCGGTCAATTTTCACTTCATGTTGTTGACAAATAGTGTGGGCAAGTCTTACTCCCATCAACGCGGCTTGGAGCTCCATGCGGGGGATGGACAGGCTTTTCAGGGGGGCAACTTTAGCTTTTCCCATGACGAGGGCAATTTCCACAATTTCTTCCCTCTGGATTCGAAGGTAGCTTACTGCTCCGAATGCCTCTTCACTCGCGTCGACAAAGATGTGGAGTTGGACCTCGTCAGCAGACGTGAAGGTCAACGAGTAGCATCGGGGGAGTCGAAATGTGGGAATTTTCTGCACTTGTTGCAACCAGATTCTCCACGATTCAAATGTAGATCGGGGGATCTCATCATCCCACCCGACCTCGCTGCGCCATGCTTGCTGTAGTAGGATTTTCGCTTTAATGGTGAGCACGGCGAGGAATCCCAATGGGTCATATATGGACATGACCAAGGACAACATTTCACGTTTGGTGGGGACTTTCTTCCCAGACAGGATCTCCTCTCTTGCTTTGACGAAGTTGAGGGAGAAAGTGAAGACGTCGGATTCGGGTCTCCAAAAAAGACCAAGGACTCTCTCAATGATGTTGTCCTCCCCCATTTGCCGGTCCTTCATGTTGCTGGCGCGCAACTCTTCGGGGATGTGGGCAACAACTTCAGGGGAATTGGATAGCCAGTTGCGGAGGTTAAATCCACCAGCGGTGTGGATGGTGCGGACCTCATCAAATCTCTTCTTGGCCTGCTCCACCGTGTCACAAGAGTCGAGCAGGTCATCAACGTAGTGGCGGTTGATAATGGCATCGACGGCGTCGGGATATTGCTGCTGAAACTCTGCTGCATTTTTGTTCTTCGCCTCCTGGGCGCAAGTAGGGGAGCATGTGGCTCCAAAGATGAGCACTCCCATTTCGAGGGTGTCGGGGGGTCGGAGGCGGTCACTTCCTCTCCAAAGGAAGCGTTGAGCTTGGGCGTCTTCTGGTTTCACTTTGACGCGGTGAAACATGTCCTCAATATCGGCGGTGAGGGCAATCTGTCGTTGTCTGAATTTCAGGAGAATGTTGGGCAGTGGTACTAGCTTGTCGGGTCCTTGGAGAAGATGGTCGTTCAGACTGCGACCATGATTCTTCCAAACCTCATCTTCAGCTTCTGGATGACTACTGGGACGCTGTCGGGGGACACCAGCAGACATTGCACCATCTTGAGGGCCTCTCCTTTGAGGCAGCGTTGAAGGCGGACCAGGTTCTCAGCATGTGAGAACTGGCAGAAATTCGTACTGGTGAGGAAGGCCACGAAGAAAGCTGGCCACTCTTCCGGGCGACCAGTGAAAGTTGGTAGGTCGCGCCCTTGGACTTGACGTGCCAAAATCTTGTCGGCGGAAGAGCTAATTGCCGGGTTGACCAAGGGATTCTGCAGCGGTGGTGCTGCAATCGTGTAAGGCGGCATGGTCGGCGTGGACTGGGGCGCAGTCCAGTAATAGGTTGCTTGAGGGGAGGCATTGTGTTCCCCGTGGCAGCAGATACGATCGGCGTGGTCGTATGATGAGCGGTGGTGACGATCGGAATATTTGGGGGCGGCGGAGGTGCAGCAGAGAACGTGTGAGGCGTTGGCGCGGGCGTGAGGATTGGATTACTTGGGGGCGGCGGAGGTGCAGTGGAGAACGCGTGTGGCGTGGACCCTGGCGTGACGATTGGGCTATTTGGGGGCGGCGGAGCTGTAGCAGAGAACACGTGTGGCGTGGACACGGGCGTGACGATTGGATTAATCGGGGGCGGCGGAGGTGCAGCAGAAAACGTGTG